CAGGCAGCTATGCTTATAGACTAGATAATAGAGTATTACGCAGTAATAGATCCTTATAGCTATAAGAAGGATTTTCTTAAGAAGCTTTAAGAGCTAGTAAGTGTTAAATAGATAGTAATAATTCTAAGAGTAATATATTTAATATAGCTGTTTATAGAGTATCTACTACTATAGGTACTAAGCAAGGCAGCTTATTAGCAGCGAGCCTATCTATTAGATTATAGAGTTCTAGAGTATTAGTGTTTAATATTTAATGCTAGGACTTATATATAGAAAAGTTACTTAATAAGAGTAGAGAGAGCTATTGCTGTATTATATTAGTAAGATTAACTAAAGTATAAAATATAGTTATAAAATATAGTTTATAAAATTAGTAGCTGAAGCTAACTAGAATAGAGATATAATTATAGACTTAGGTATTTATATTAGTAGTAAGTTAATTACGTAATAGTATACTTATTATTATTATATATATTTACGTAAGCACTGCAGAATATTTAATAAAGTATATTATTAGAGAAGCTATAAGACTCTACTAAATAGATATGTTGCTTATAGTATAACTTATTATTACTAGTTACTACTAAACTTTTTTATTATACTTTTGCTTTAAGGCGTATTTAGCTTTTAATTACTCTGCTTCTATTATATACTTATATAGATATTCTATATTAATTATAGAAGTAAGAGAGTAGTTATAGAGACTATATATTAAACTTAATAGTATATTTTCTAGCTAGCATTAAGATATATAATAAGCGCTATTAAAAGAGAATAATCTTATGCTTATGCAAGTCTTTATTAACTAGACTTTATATATTTATAAAGATAAAAACTCTTTATATAGTAATAAGAATAAAAATAGTCTATATAGCAATAAGGATAAAAACTCTTTATATAGTAATAAGAATAAAAACTCTTTATGTAGTAATAAGAATAAAAACTCTTTATATAGTAATAAGAATAAAATCTATTTATATAGCAGTAAGAATAAAAACTCTTTATATAATAATAAGAATAAAAACTATTTATGCATACATTAGTAAAGATAATAATGCTCTATATAGTAGTAAGAATAAGTATACTAGAATAAAAACTACGTTTAACTAAGCATGCTAGGATAAAAACTATATCTAATTTAGAAACTTATTTTTTTTAGCTTTATTTTAGCTAGAAATTAATTTTTCTAAGATAATTTTTTTTTAGAAATTTTCTCTAAGTCTGTTATACGTATATCTTTTTTCTCTATACTTTATGCCTATATTAGCCTTTACTTTACTATACTATAATAAATCTAATTTTAATAAGCTTATGCTAAAGCGCTTATATCTGCTAAACTCTATAAATGCATGTGCTTAAAACCTTTTACTTTAGTTAAGCTAGCATATTACTACTAAAACTAGGTTTATACTAAAGTACTCTAAATACCTAGGCTAGTAGCAGAGGTTATAGCATAAGCATCTAAAATATTTCTAGAAAAAACTTATTCTCTTAAGTATTCTCTAAATAGTTTTAAGCTTAATTTTTATAGTATAGAGTAGATAAGATAGAAAAGATTATAGAGATAAAGTAAATTTAGTATAAAACTTATATAACCTATATAGCTATACTAAAACTATAAACTTATATTTGCTAAGTTCTACTTATATAGCTAAACTAAAGAAACTTACTAAAGTTTTTCTTTACTCTCTACTAAGCTCTAGCTATCTCTAGCTAAGCTTAGTAATACTTTCTAGGCTCTTTTAGCTTCTATTATAGCTTAAGAGACCTTACTAAGTTTAGAAGAGGTATATATAAGAGATACTAGAGAGGTTTATATATAAGTAAAGTATCTCTGCTTAACTTACTACTTATTCTCTAACTTACTATCTACGCTCTAGTATACTTTATTTACTCTAGCTTTCTTTTCTCTTTTCTTTTACTTTAGCTAGTCTACTCTAGACTAGCATATACGCTAGTCTAGCGCCTACACGCTTTATAGTATATATAGCTAGCTACTCTCTTCTCTTAGTAGACTCTTTATCTACTATTCTACTTTTAGTTAAATATAAGTACTTCTTATTAATCTAAGCTTTCTATGCCTGCAGTCTGCCTTATAGTATTATATAAGCAAAAATTTAATCTTCTAAATTACTTAATTTAGTAATATAGATACTTTAGATAATATAAAAAATTATTAAAATCTTACTTATATAATACTTAACTATAACTTAACTCTATTATATAATAAACTTAGCGTTAACTATAACTTATATATACTTAACTTAATCTATACTTATTCTAGCAAAAATGTTTAGGTATAGACTAACGTTAATTTAGAGTTATATTATATAATACTTAACTATAATCTAATCTATACCTATTTGCTACTCTAGTTTTAATATTTCTTTACCTATAACTTTAAAGCCTTATATCTTAATAAGTATTAGAGCTATAAATAAACTATCTAAAGATCTAGATTTCTCTTATAAAACTGCATAAAATAGCTTCTTAATATAAGAGGCAGAACTCTAAGAGTAGTAGCTAGGTATTAAAGTTATAAATTAGATACAGAACTCTTAAAGTTCTGCTAGCTATCTTTTATACTATATCTTAAAAGATATAATATTCTAGCATTGCGAAATAAGTAAAGTTCTAAATAACTAAGCTTTTAAGCCTAAGATTCTAGGCAGAGCGTAGCTTATTAAACTTTAAAATATATTATTTCTCTCTAGAAGGTTATTTCTTTCTAGTACGTATTCTTACTATATAGTACCTTGCTAAGGCCTATTCTTATTAGCTTAGCTCTATATTTCTACTAGAAATGCAGGTAGACTTAAGGATAGTATATCTTACTTACTCTAGCTTTCTTTTCTCTTTTCTTTTACTTTAGCTAGTCTGCTTTCTGCTAGCGTATATGCTAGTCTAGCACCTGCACGCCTTATAGTATATATAGCTAGCTGCTCTCTTCTCTAAGTACACTCTTTATCTACTATTCTACCTTTAGTTAAATATAAGTACTTCTTATTAACCTAAGCTCTCTATGCTCGCATTCTGCCTTACACTAAGGCCTCTTCTAATTAGCATTCTCACTAGGAATGCTGGTGGACTTAAGGTTAGTAAGATGTTGTAGCAGCATCCACCATTCTTCAAAGTAAGGGAGAAGTCGTCTTTCCTATACGGACTCAGCGCAGCGAACACCACCTTGTCCTCTTCATTGTCCAGCTTTCCGTTGCCAGCTAGGCTTGGGTACGCGCTGCGAAGATCCCAGCTGCGCGAGCCATCCTCAAATAGTACGATCCAGGCTTCTTTCATACCGAGCGCAACCTCAATGGGAGGCGACTCTGACTCCGCAATCGCTCTTTGAAATTTATTGGGGAGTGCATGGGCAATGTGCGATGTTCTGGAGCGTGCAAAATAGGCGCCTTCCGGCCCAATGCTGATTGATACTCTCTTCACCTTTCTGGATCCGCGTTGACACGTTCGCAGATCCAGTTCTGCAGCCTGATATAGGCCTCCGATCCTCCATGTCTAGTCTCGGTCAGTGGGATACCATCACGACAATGAACTACGTACATGAATTAACGTCCTTAGCCTTGATCACTGTGCTGGTGTCAACGAAAATCCATCAGGCAATCCGTGCTGAAACCTTACTATAGGCTTCGTTCCATGTTTTGGTGATTTGAACGTCGCCATCATCATTCACTCCCCCCATGAAAATGCCCGTGTCGTGTTTGAAGGCCGACCAGTAAGGAGTGTAGATGCCAAAAGTGTCCCAATCACTCGCGCTCGATCTCACACTACATCTACGATGAACTTGATTCATGAAAAAGAATTGCACTACTCACGATCGCCAGCGCGTACGGCAACGCAACCGAGTACCGGTTTCTGAAGAACCAGAAAACGAATGTCACATCTGAATGAAGAGAGTTTATTCGGCGAGCTCTCCGACATCTCTTCCTCGGGCGGCGGCATCCTTGGTGTGCTTCCATTGTCACTGGACATGGCGTCGGCAAAGCAACGGTATCTTGCGAAGTTGCGCATCGAACCTTTGGCAGGAAGGTGCCTGATTTACGTCACGTCACCAAGCATACCGGCGGACCACCATCTCAAGTGAGAACCGTCGTACCGTCGTATTAACCCCGACTCAAGATACCACAGACCCACATTGCATGCAAGACGTCTGCATCAATTTGCGAATCCCTCGCATGCTACGAGTCGCGATCATGTGCTTGATCACTTCGGCTGCAACGGACATCGTCACCAGGCAAGCTACCCATCCTGTGTTGGCGTAGTGGATGGGAATCTGGTAAATGACGGTAGCGTCGGTTCCGTTCGTCTTCATGTAGTCGAATGGCTGGCTGCTGGTTTGGTTGATGTTCGCACTCCCCAAGGATCGTTTCGCGTCATGGCAAACGGCCATCGAGATCCCAATATGTGTTGAGTACACGAGTAAGCCGATACGAAATGTATTCAGACCAGTTCTTCGTAGCGCTCATGCTGGTTTCTCCAAGCATAGCGCAGTGTACATTCCCGTAGATGTAGGTGTCGACCGCATTGGCTTGCAGAAGGCCTGTCTCTCCACTAATGACTAAAAGGTATTCAATAAAATTCTTAGTGTAAATCCTGTTATTCGAGATGTCGTAAGGAAGGTCGCCACTGCTTTGCTCCGATCGGACCATCTTCAGTCGCCTTGGACGCTCGCTCGACTCTGCAACTTGCAGCTTCGCAAATCATATTAACCTCTACCATGACGATTTTCATATAACACTCGCGGAGCCAGAACAGTTAACTGGAGACTCTACTACTACCGTGAAGAAGTGCCTCGGGCGGACAAGTCCCATGTGTAGTATTAATTCCCTATACAAGCACTGCGCAAGGAGCCACGATCAAGCGATATAGCGCGGAATTGTCTGCATTATTTAGCCATTCACACCGCGTCTAGATCTTCAAGCTGCCATGATACTTGTTCTTTTTCAAACTTGCCTGCACACCATCCTAGGCGCTATTGCTCGCCCTTTGCGCAGTCTCTTCGTTACTCGCCCTGTCGGCACCAAGCAAAGCACTCTCTTCATCTGGCTCCACATTTTTCTCCACCTTCGCACGTGGCTTCTGTAGTGCACTCCACAGCGTGCTGCAAATGATGATCGTACCGCCGAACATGCTCCATGCGCCTGGAATTGCACCCCAAATGATCCAATCGAAAGCGAGCGCAAAGATGATCTGCACGTACAACATGCTCGTCGCCTTGCTGCTCTTATCAAGCTGAAGACCTGCAGTCAACAAGAACTGTAGGACAAAACCGAAGACACCCATGGCAATAAGCAAGATCCATTCACGGGGCGATTGCGGCTTCTGGAAACCAATACCCGGGATGGCAAAAAGGGCGATGGTCGAACCGACAGTAGCGAGTAAAGCGAAGTAATTAACAGACATAAGGGCGTGCGCACGATCGCCAATCACGCGAATTGTCGTATAAGCTCCGGACGCTCCTGCAACACCGAGGATGGAGACTACGATCGCGATGAATCGTTGCGTTGACGAGACCTTGTCGATACCCGAAGGCTTCTTGGGATGCAGGTCATCATGCACTTCTCCAAACAACCATGGTGGGTGCGCAATGATAATAACACCGATCAAAGCTACTAGTCCGGCAATAAGCTCTTTGCGTGTAAAGGCTTGCCCAAGGAAGACGGAACACGCCCATGCCGTAACGAGAGGTACCAAAAATCGAAACACTGTAGCCTCCGCCAGAGGGAGGTAATGCACAGAATCTACGTCGTTGGATATTAGTGCCATGCCCATTATCGTTGAATTGGAAGCTAAACTCACAGTACAAGCAATAGAGTCCACCGAACCCAAAAGCCGCACGAAGTATTAACCAGCCGCGCACACTTCGAGCGCCAAGTGGGAAGTCGGGTACTTTCGTCCACCACATATATGCGCTGCTCAGGATAAATGTGATGCCCATGCGTGCAACGATGACCTTTGCAAGTCAGCCAACACAGCCGTGAGTAGCCGGTAAGAGCTTCCTCGTACTTGAAAAGGATGAAACTTGGTTTCGCCCTGCTGAAGATACCTCGCCATTGCGTCCATCGAAGCACCTGCTAGTTCAGCGAGCAGTATCAGACATGCTCCTTTGTTGTTCTTCCATGCTGATCGCCAGATGCTGTCCTTGGTTGGTGGTGACTCATCTTCTGGCGCGGGCTGCGCGCTGATACTTTGGTACGACATCTCAAGACAGCACGCAATGTTTAGGGTTGGGAAATGAGCTGGCCGCTGGAAGGGATGAAAGCACGAATGCATATACACAATGCTGCAGGACCTGGTGTGGAGAGAAAATTGCCTCAAGGCCCACTTTCCGCGCCAACCTACTTTGGTCGCGGGGAAGGGTCAGACGACAACATCATCCGCGACTACACACCGCAAATCTCATGTTTTCGCACACGGCGCAGTAAAGTCCTTTGTCACCGAAGCGCAGGTCAAGCTTTCTAATGTTCCGAATGTCGATTTGGCGAAGCGCGGCGGAGCAAGAAAATCAGAAAGACACCAAAGCAGCCCCGCACTCCCGGGCATAGCTACCCCGATCAATCACAAACTAGCCGAAACTGCTGTCAGCGCACCACAAAGCATGTGACTCCGAATTGGAGGTATCCATCGCATATTATGGAACTCTGTGTATTCGACCCGTGCCAGAGAGGGTAAATGGTGCGATGAAATCGAGCTTGACGCCAAAAGCTGGGACATTTTGCCGTGGCAAAGCCGATCATAGCATACTCCTCGCCACAGTCGCATTTTTAGTAATCGTCATGCCAATGCTCTCACCTCGCCTACACTCCGTGCTCATCATTCGGATCGGCATCCGTGTTGAATTGCCAAAACTTTGGTCCGCAAGCTCTATATCATCATCACTTGGATGTCCACCCTGAATACGTGAATGGTACTTTTCGAAGGATCCCCCGAGGCTTCTCGGTATGTACGCTTCCATGTGTTTCCTGGACTCTGACTGAAAATGCCCGTCCGTACTACAGTTAGCTGTCGAGGGCACGGATCGCATGATGAGGACTTTGAGAGCCGGAAGCGAAACCACAATGATGGCAATGCTCATCTCGGCAGTGCACCACAGGTCTGCTACGATCTTAGCTACGAAAAATTGCGAGGGGGCTTGCGAACTCACCGCCGGATGCGTCCTCAAGAGAATAATCTCCCGGCACAGTGTAAACGATAAAGCGTACCAGGCTGATGACGATCGTGATTAGACCAAGAGAGAACACGCCACATAGCGCCATCTTTTGCCGCTTGTGGAGCTTCAGATATCTAAGGAGGAAGAATGGGAGGATGAATACTGGGTATCGTCAGTCATATCAAGTCGCAGAAAGGAGGAGGGTGCAGTACACAAGAGATCCGTTGACCAATTTAGTGACCAGTTGATAGCTAAAGCTTCATACGTGTTCCATAATGAGGATGACTGCTGGACGATCGACCTTTGGAGAACGATTAGTCCAGTCTCTTGGCATCCCAATCGCTCAGCTTACCAGTTGTCCGAAACTGGCAGGCACGTCAACGTGTCCGTCAAAAGCGTTGCGACGAATGCGCAAGTCATGTATATGCAACTTGCATAGATCGCCAACTGCAGATTGGCGGAAGGCCATGTGGAATCAGCCACCCGTAGAAAGCAATGAGAGCGGCTTTCGGAAAGTAGAGCCCGATGTCGAAGAAGTAGGAGGAGATGAAAACTATCTAAGATCTTGATCAGTTTGTAACATGCAAGGTTTACAAATCACGTACCACAAGGTAATCGACAGAATCAGTCGTCTGGTCCGGTTCGGCCAACGGGTGGTTGATCTGCAGTCGAAGCGCGAGAACAGAGCAGATGAACCATCCCAACGAGCACAGCCATCCGGCCCAGACGAAATAATCTGGAAGGGTGAAACTGCGCCTCTCGATGCGTAGTCTAATGCAGGAACGCACCAAGGTGGTCGCAAACGCTAAGAAGATGAGCAACGCTTGCAGTATCTGTCTGATAATTAATTTATCTGTTTCCTGTCTGATTCGACGAGCCTTACGTACGATTGATAGAACAATTTCCATCTTGTCATAATCCAGGTATACACAGCATTTGGTATATACTATCGCTTCATGTTCAAGGTACAGTGCGGGTCATCTCCTGAATCAAGGCTGCCCATACATTATGTATGAATGCAGTCTGCTGCAACCAAACTTTATCGAACTTTCATCGATGCGCAGCAATTATTGGCATCGTTGATCGAACCACACAAAGGTGCGTGATATACTAGTAAAGTCAAATTTTCGCAGGAAAGAGGCGGCAAGGCAGCAAGTACAAGAGTATCGCCGAAACTCAATCCAGGTTTAAAGTTCAAGTGCTTACTCCCGCGCAAGAACACAACATACATCCAGTCACCCTGCAAACTGGCATAGGTCGACTAAGGCTTCGCCTGATAAAAGTCGTCTGGAATGTCGCTCATATTCCAAGTCTTTTAACATTGCGCTGGAATGGCAATGTGGTCGACCGCCATCAAGACCACCAGGACTGACAAACCAAGAAACCTTTTGCGACGCATACCTCGTTGCAGGTTAAGACTCCCTCCTGATTTCCAAGTATCTGTATCAAAGCTGGGGAACGGGTATGTAGATGCCCAACGGCAGAATCTCTTTGGCACGTCTTCTCCCACGAGCGCGTCTCAAGCAACCTCGCAAGCAATCGATCACAATCCCACAACCCCGGATCAGGATGACCCTAGATTGTGCGCGATCTGCGCAACCGAGTGTGGGGCGCCAATCCATCTTCCCGAGCACCTATGAAAGGAGGTAGTGTCAGTGAGTCGCTTACGGTCGTAAAGAAACCAACACAGGTCACTCAACTGAATTCATTAGACGACGGACATCTACGAGAGTTTACATACATGAGGATCTATGGAAGACAAAGGATGACAAAGCTGACGATGGAACATATTCCTCTACGATAGTAGGTGGATGATGACTGGGGTTTATGCTTTCCTCCATAGACTCCGAAAGACCGTCGCGGCAGTGCTCCAGATCGTGATTATCCTGTAATGCTTCGGCAAGGACTCCATATATATGTTCACTTCATAATGCGACAAGAACATCCGGTCCCTGGCCTTCATGCCTTGGTCATAGTCACTAACTATCGCTCCTCGCACTCGATGTGTGTCGCAGCAAGAAATCGCGGATCTATGCTTCCAATGCCTGACAGACTCATTTGAGCTGGGTTGATTTTGAGCGTGGACGTCTGACAAAATCGACGACCTGTGTCTGTAGCTATGATGTTGGTTGGTGACCACAGCAATCTTATCCTCGCTACTTCATCGCGGAGTACCAAGAACGAAGCGTTCGCTGCCTCGACTTCGCTGACAAGAAATTTTGCATTCTCCAGCGAAAGACAACAAAACTGGGTTCCAAATGCGAGCCGCTCTTCCATATTGGATCGAGGGTGGGTGGCGCTGCTAGCTCTGAGCTTTTGCAAACGTGCCTGCCTCGTGGCACCTCCCGAAGGATTGGCATCGACAAAATACGACTACTTACTAGGTCTGGAGGTCAACATTAGCACAAATCATCTGCATACAGGGCTAGAACCTACTTCTCACCTTCGTCTGACATCAGCTTACTATGTGCTATGTAGAAAGTGCAACCGACTTGGTTTCATACCAGGGAGAGAATCAAATCTTATGTACATATATTATTATAGACGACAAATTGCCTGGCATGCGCATTAGCCGTATGATTTATAGTACATGAGAGCACGAATATTGAAAGCAGACAGAAACCCGTTTCCAACTCCCAACATGATCATCTTCATGGTAGAGGTACCCTTGTCGTGTCTTACAAGCAACATCCTGGTGATGTTCGACGGCAACGGCGTGGATTCCTGAACCTGACATATGCCATCTTTCGCTCCATAAGAAGTGAAATGCCACCTTCTTGTAGTCCATCACGTAAGCTTTACATCTATTGACAATGAATGCGACGTTTGTCGTTCACTCTGTAGCCTTTAAATAGTGTTCAAGCAGCGATGAGAGCCGCGAGAGCAATGGTGGACTGTGTACGGCGAAGTTATGGACGAGCGTTCATGAGCATCGTCAAAGTAAGCTGTCGGGGTGTTGAAACTGCGAAGTGTCACGAGTACACCAATCTCAAGCCATCCCATTGTCTGGAGTTGCAGGCAAATAATAAGAAGACGGGTCGTTGCAGTGCGTTGGGAGAAGTTGTCATTTTGCGCCTACCGATTCTCGGACTATGTCCTAGAGGTTCGACGCGCACGTTCGCTGATTGATCGGTCTATATTAGCCTGTGATTGCTGAAACGCGATGACCCTCCGCGTCTTTGGAAAGGCCGTCGTGCAACTCAGAGTATAGCACCCCCTCTAACCCACGGAGCATTGCACAACCACACTGTTAAGATAAAACGGGCAATATGCTCCTATCAAGTACAGAAAATCCTCGCCGCACTTTTGGTGAACAATGGAACCCCGCTCAGCAAGTGCACAAATTAAGGCGAGCTCACACCACGATACACGCTCATCTCCAGGGGAGGTCTAACCCACGATTGTCGCCGATCAAGGATTGCCGTTGTCGATTACTCTCACCGTGATCGGCCGTTCCTACACTTGCTCAACAACGTCGAAGTCTCCAGCCCGCCTACCCTCAATAAACATGTTCACAGTGTGCGCGACGTCTTTTCGGACTTTCGCAGGTTGCGGCCCAATCACTAATTGAACCGTGGGTTCCTTGATCCAACCGTCCGACATAGGAAGGACCGAAAGAAACATATCCGGAATTGTGTTGCGCTTTTAGTATCATCCGAAAGGCAACAAGGATCTCCGTATCGAGCTCAGGTTCACGCACCATTGATGCACAAATGACCGTTGCAAATGATGAAGTAAGACAAGGACAAGAGCACTAGGCAGCGCCCTGTCATAATCTGAAGGACAATATGGAGACGGAAGCCAATGTGTAATGAAATTGCATTTGACGATTCGCGCATGCATCTTTTCAACACGTCGGGTCACGAAGAACATCTAGACCCTAGATTTGTCAATGTCCCCAAAGCAAAGGCCTTTCCTTTGTCCGTGCGAGCAGCGCGCAAAGCCGTTGAGCCAGCGGGGAAGCGAGAGTGCTTGCGATCCTCGCTGTTTCCCCTGCCCCCCTGTCAGGCTCGCGAACATCCCTACATAGTGCTCGCGTGTATGCAGCCATACGCCCGATCACCCTGAAATGTTTCACAAATCTTTGATTCGCGACTCACGAAGTGGGGAGCCATGTGAGTTCATTTCACTGCTTCCCGCAAACATCAAGTTAGTATGCTCACATGCTCAGAATTAGTACTAGAGACCTCGGGACTGAGCTCCTTTGAATGACTGTCGGCTAGTCTCATTGAAGTGAGACTTCAGAAACCACAGTTCAAAATGATGCCATCACTGGCTGCTTGAACACGTTTCGGTGCATTTCTCGGATGCCATGGTTACTTGAAAACTTTATTTCAACACTAATGCAACGGTACCTGAGGTACTTACTCGTCTTTACCTCCTCGATTCTCGGTAGTGGGAGCTCCCGCCTTGTTGTCGATCATCACGCTCTGCATAACACCATGCAGCAAACGCGCGTGCAGGAACTACCGGCCAAAAGCTGAGCGCTTAGCGAGCGCGCATGGATGCTATATTACAACTACGTATACTCCAGGTAGCAAAATAAGAATATAATACATAGTGCAAGTGTGCTTTGCGTGAACCACTGGCACATCTATGATCAATCCTCTTGCTGCCCGGCCTAATCGCAAGGACGAGATTATAGCTTCACGGTGCGGCAGCGGTACGGCAACCAACCCGTCCGAGTCATGACAGGTAGTTGACAGAGCTTTGCCCGTCTTGTGCGTCATGCACACCCGCAGTCGGTCACTCAGGCCTTCGTCTGCGGGACATCGTGTTTCATGGCGCACCGTAAGGGCCGTGAGTGTATATCTGGGGTCCGAGCATGCGCTAGAGGAAGGCTATCTCGATCCCATAAGGCTCACACTTGTAAACTTCAAAGCCTCAATATAGTTTTCGTTTCATTCACTGCACATCAACATGGACCAACCACCGCCTGCAATACCGCCAGAGCAACTTGCTCTTTTAGCGTCCGAGGATCACGGCCCAAGGACTATCGGCATCGTCGTTGCCTTCACTGTGCTGGCATTCTTAAGCGTGATTCTACGTTTCGTTACGCGGACTCGACTCACGCATCTCGTTGGCTGGGAAGATTATCTCATCGCGCTAGCAATGGTATTTCCTGCTCCTAGACATGGCGAGAACATCATGTTTATATATGTGCTAGGCATTCTCGATCGCTACATCAGCATGTCAAGTCAAGCAAGTGGGATGGGGTGCTGGCAAACATCAAGTCTTTGTCGATCTTCCTTCGACCATCAACAGTCTAAGAGTATGTTGGTCCAGTCAACTCCCAGTCAACTCCTCTGCTAGTAATTCCTGCTGACTGGCACAGTACCTATATTCGAGCATTCTTACCTACGTTCTTGGCTTCATCTTTGTGAAGCTCTCCATCCTGATGCAGTATCGACGAATATTCTCGGTGAATGAAGCGCGCATACCAATCTACATCGTAATGGCGATCAGTGTCATTACTGGCATCATCGCGTTTTTCACATTCGCCTTCGAATGCAAGCCTGTGGATGCTTTCTGGAATGTGACCAAGAGGCCTACCGCCAGATGTCTCGACGAGAATGCGATTCGATACGGCAACAGCAGCACGAACGCGATCACAGATATAATGATCGCTGCATTACCCATACGGGGTATCTGGCGCCTGCAAATTGTGCGCAGACAGAAGATCGCTTTGATCTTCGTCTTGACCCTCGGTTGGTTGTAGGTCTCTTCTCACCCCTGTAACATAAGTGTACACTTCTTTCTAATACAACAACAGCGTCTGCATCGTCTCGATCCTCCGGTTCAACGCACTGGTAGTACTCGCACGACATCCGCGAGATATGTCATTCTATTCCGCTCCTGCGATCTATTGGAATGCCATCGAGATCAATCTTGCCATTGTATGCGCGTGTGTGCCGACACTCAAGCCCTTGGTCGTCCAGATCATTCCAGTCTTCGCGTCTAGGGGAAGCGAAAATAGCAGCGGTCGAAAGTCGGGTTCCTTGAAGTGGTCGAAGCTAGCTCGTCAATTCAGGCGTCTCGATGGCAACGATGTTGCAGTTGCGAGGAGTACCGACGTAGAGCAAGGCTCAATGGGTAGCGAACTTAAGTCAATTACTGCACTCCCGCCCATGCAGCGGGAGCCGTCAAGTAAAGTGGCAATTCGCGTTACTCATGACATCCAACAACAATCCAGTTGATGATGACCTTTAGAACAAACACTCTCGTTAGATTACGCAATTGTTACGGCCTGATTTGCAACAAGTCCGCAAGCGATGTACGTCCACAGATTCTTCCAGTCGTCGCAAACTGCTTAATGATTTGCTACATGGGCAATCGAGCACAAACTTTGCAACGGCTATTCTTCAATGGCATATTGTATCGCACCATGAGATACATCGATCGCAACCGGACATACGACTGTAACCAACTTTACGATTCATATCGAAAATCAGAGCCTTGCAACTTGGAGTGTACTGGGCATATTCAAGTGGTCATAGCTCTCCATCCTCTTCTCCTCATACACATGATTGACTTCTGCTTTGTGCTTTAAGTGAGTGCACAAGTCATCATGCGTCGGGTTTACGCATTCAAGTAAGCGCACAATGCTTCAGTAGTGAATGTATTCACATCCGCAATCCTACCATCGTAACCTGAGAACCAAGAGAGCTTTGGCAGCCTATTTCTGGGATATCGTCGAGTGCGTTGTGCGCCTATTTGTCACTTGCATAGGACACTCAAGCCAACCATGTATATGATCCAAGCCAAATCTTATTTCTCTCCCGCGCCATACCAATCTTCTCGCTACCTCAACAACATCTTAATTGCTCCTCTAGTCCCCATACAACTGTGGACTATCTTCCAACAGCTGTCTTCCCTTACCTTCAACCAATCACCATGGATTCATCTCTCGCTACAATGCCAACCAAGCCCTTTCTCTACGCGATGCCTGCCGAAATCATCGGTATTATAGCAAATCAACTTGTGTCCACCGACACTCACGGTGCCTGGCGGCTGCGCGGCATCAGCAAGGCATTCAAGGTGGCAATCGAGAACGACATTACTCTGTACCAACCCAAGGATGCTCTCAAACAAGGCAGAAATATCACTGACGAATTGATGCCCCGCTACCTATTCTGCCGGATTCACAAGCATCTTGACGCACACGACGCGTTATTGGCGCGACTCAAGCTAAAGAACGAATATCTTTGCCGCGAGCTCAACATAACAGATTCATCGGAACAAATGGACAACCTAAATGCCCTATGTCGTGGACAAGTCAAAATCCTTGATCTCCGCAAAGTGAAGGATCTCCTTTGGGCCAACTATTGCACTGTGCGAGATCGTCTTCCCGTTCTCGATGCTGCGGACATAGGTCTGCAAGCTAAGGTTGCTGCAGCGATGTCGGTGCGCGCACTTCCACTGTTGCGCAAGTTGCTACCGCAGGTGCACAACTACTGGTTTGACGACTCTGGAGATCGCTTCGATGGCGAGAGCCCACTTGTTGCTGCAGTGAGTCTCGAAGACGATGAGATGCTCCAAATCCGCCTCAGTGAGGACTTAGTCTCAAAGACCCGATACGGCGACCCAATAGAGCTTTGGGCGGGCATAGCAATGGATCTTGCAATTGCTCAAGGCTCCGTGTCTAGAATGACGCTTCTATTTGATGGCGTAGATGCGGCAGGATTCGAGAAAATTCAAGCATTCTACGACCATTCACTGAATGCTGCCATTGCCTTTAATGGGGTCAGCCTCGACGTTGTTCGATGCCTTCTCGATCGTTGCCCATCCACCGATTTGGTCAGCGACGAGCAGTTCTTGAGCGCGTGCAAGACCAAGAACGCCGAACTTATCGCGCTTCTGGCCAATTGATTAAAGGGGGCTATAGATACATTAAGCGTTGCGGCTTTCCGAGTTGGTACCGAATCTTCACACATGGCGCTCGATGGCACCTCAGCTTGAAGGCGATATCTGTAAACAGTTCCTCTTGAGGACTAGAATGAGCAACCGAACTCAGATAACAATCCATGAAATCTCAACTACACAAACCTAACAATCATTTGATTTATCGGTGAGATGATGCGTTGCATAAGACACCCAAATGTGACCGACTCTACCATTTTTGGCCGGCGCAGGCTCTTTCTATTTGATGCTGAATCTCACACACCGGAACTGCACTCACTTGTACTGTATTCCTAGATTCCAAGGACAAAGGGTCGTGGTAATTAGCTGCAATCCCTTGCACTCGCAATTTGGTAGCATCTATCGCTATTTATGGTAGAAGTCCGCCTGATTGAACCAGCTTACCGATAGTAAATTTGATGATCAGAGCCATATGTTATACCACGCGGGCAACGGCTCAACATGCGTCACAGGCTTAGGTCTCGAAGCCGGCAGAGACTTTTACGGCACACGATGCTGCACTAAGGTTCTTCCGTAATTCCATCTGCTTCTAAAGCAACTAACCTTCATGTCTTCCCTGCTATAAAGGTGGTGAACGTGTTCTGACTGCTGCCTTGTGCGCTCAGTCGTTAATTTCTTTTTCATCGAATTTCATACGTCATCGTTCGAACCTTGTCATAGAATGTAGATTCACCCTGATAATCACCGTTGCTGCGGCATGTACATCAGCGCCTGTGGGTAACTATCAAATGAACATTGTGTCCTTATACTCAGCTAGGCAACATCATAAGTAGGTTTCACGTCATACTTCTAGGCACGAGGACCCTCACTATATATGAACCCCCTTCGTGCCTCTTCTTCTACCCCCCACAACACTGCGACTGTTACAATGTCACCGTCGATCCACCTCTACTACACTAACAAGCCCGTTCTAAATCCCCTTCAACGGTTCAGATAGTCACCTCATACGCGCTCGACACTCTTCATCTTCACCTTACAACCACCCAAGTGCGCTATGGAAACTCCCTACATCCCGCCCGAGTTGATTAGTATCATCATCCACCATCTCAGTTCGACTGGCATCCGCGATTCTTGGAAGTTGCGCGGCGTCAGCAAGGTCTTCAGGGATACTATCACCGACGATATTGTCATGCGTCAGACGAAAGACGTCCTCGCCGAGGCGACAGAGGTCTTCGACCATCTGATGCCCCGATACCTATGCTATCGAGTCCGTAAGCCACTTGACGTCCATGAGCCTTTCCTAGTAAGTCCCACTTTGCATTCATTGACCTTCTGACACTCTGCTAACGTTTTGACAGGTACGACTCACGAAATTGAACGACTACCTGTGCGATGAACTGAAGATATCAGATCCCACAAAGAAGGCCGACAAACTTTTCGCGCTCTGTCAAGGACAAGCCAAGATAGTTGGTTGTGGAGTGATTAGAGATCTTCTCTGGTCCGATTCCGATGATCAAGACTGGATGGGGAGGAACTGGAACTCCGATAATCAGGACTGGTTAAGGAGCTACAACGCGGCTCCCATTAGTATCGAGGAAAAGGTAGCAGCGGCCATGTCGGTCTGCGCGCTTCCTTTACTTCACACGCTTCTACCGCAACTTACTGCATACAAGTTCTATCCTCGCGGTGGCGCTTGCTTCCGTGAGGAGAGCTACCTTCTCGCTGCTGTGAGTATGGAGAACAACGAAATGCTCCAGCTCTTGTTGGACAATGATTTACCTGCCAAGTTTACAACCCCCTCATCTGCAGGTGACTATATCGAGGAAGCAATGAGACTTGCAATCAAGCAGTCTTCTACGGCCAGGACCTTGGCTTTATTCGACGCCTTCCTAGCGGTCAAGTCAGGCTGCCAGAAGACTGCCTACAATAGCACCCTCAAGCACGCGATTATGCAAAGCAGCAGCGAAACCAACATCGATATCGTGACTGGCCTCATAGATCGATGCCCCGGAGGACAGAAGGTCCACACACAAGTGTTTACAAAGGCTTGCAAGTATGGAAACGTCGACGCCGTGAAGGTTTTCCTCGAGCATATGGCAGTCAACAATGCCACCTCCCATCTGACATTGCCGCTCAATCGAGCCATCCAAAGCGGACATGCAGCAGTGATCGACGCTGTCTTGGAAGCAGGTGCCGATATTAATAAGACCGACTATGGCTCCCGCATTGACTCTCGAGGGATTGCGATTCCCGAGTTGAGTCCAATGGAAATTGCGATTAAAACAGGTCAAGGGGCCGTTAGTATGCTGCTGGAGCGTGGAGCAACTGTACCCTCTCTGACGATATGGTATAGACGCGGGAGGAGCATGTACAGTCTCCTGAGAGAGGCTAGGATCGCGCAAACTGGGCGTAAACTACGCACGTGGGAGCAAAACAAGGTGATCATTCGCCGAGAAAACCAAGCAGCACGTGAGGCTCCCAGAGCCTGTCAAGCGAATAGAGCATGATACAGGCCATTGCTTTTGCGGGGAAGAGTCTGAGATTTCGGATACATCAAAAGGGCTAGATTGCGCCGAACAAAAGCGTTTATGAATGGGGTGGGCGAGATGTAGATTGTGTATAGCAACTTGAATATATAATTTTGCATGTGGCGAAACTTCACACACCGTACCTGAATTCCCTAACCTTCTTCTGATAGTAGAACGTCGCAAGCGCACCCGTCGCACCCAAAGCGATCGGCACGGGCGCTCGTCCTCCTGTCTTCATGATGCGAGGAATCGCAGACCCGAGAAGCGCGATACTGTTTCCAAGAGCGAGTTCAGTTCCATAATCCTGGTTTTGCTTGATGCGGTAGCCTGTGAAAGGTTTAGTGAGACGATGTGGCGAGACAAATGGTGTTCATGTACCGGCATATCCATATGATGCGCCGAGCACAAGACCCGCGACGAGCGATGGTGTTGAGCGGGTGCGGAGGTAACCGGCAGTTCCGCCCACGGCCACTGGAGATAGTGTTAGCAGACACAGAGAGTGATGCAATTGAAGCGAGCTTACACAGGCCAGCGAGTGTGAAGGATGGATGCTCTGCCATAGTGGTTTTGATGATCGATGATGAGGTGATCGAGAAACGTGATGAGGGCATCGAATTTGGTAAGCCTCGGTTGCGCTAGTGAGGCGCGTACTGATGTCTCCACTTCACGGCGCGTCTTTTGCATCATTCATATCTGCTCGTTCTAATCATGTTTTTGATCGATTTCTTGTTAAAGATTTAGCGGCCGTATGGATATGCTGTCATCTCATCTACTCATAGCTTCGCGAACGCCAGCTCCACCACGAACCCCACGACCATCCTGGCATGCTCTAGCATATGCGCAAAGTCCAACTTCTCGATCGTGTCATTCGCAGTGTGAACGTATGGGTTATCGTTGACCGTACGCATCTCGCCTTCAAATACAAACGCGCTAGGATAGCCAGCCCTCGTCGCGCTCACATGGTCCGAACATCCATATCCACACACCGAGTCGCCTGTCTCTGTATCGGTGTACGCTTCGATGACACGCCTCGTGAAGTTTGTGAGCGCCGGATCAGTATAATCGGTTATGATCCCGAATTTTGGCGTCATGTTCTTGGAAGTGTAGCCTGCCGTGTAACCCGTCATGTCTTGGTTCAGCATAGCTGCGATGTCGCGACCTTCTTCGGCGTAGTTCCTAAAGACGTTGCCGGAACCCAGAAGACCGGCTTCTTCTGCGGCGTACCAATGGAACTCGATCGTCTGTTCCGCTTGCCCACTGGCGATTGTGTCGTTGAGGAGCAGTGTTCGGAATGCTTCCAAGATTGTCATGCTTCCGGAACCATCATCATCTGGACGTTGTCAAACTGTGAACTCGCAAGTAACGGGGATGAACATTTGGCTTACCTGCACCGGGAGCCCTGGCAGTCGTTCGGTTCACCCCAGCTTCCCCATTGATGCTATCTAGATGTGCTCCCACAACGATGGTCTTTGCGCTTTTGCCCGGTATTGTGGCGATGATGGAGCTCTGTTGGTAAACGTGTTGAAAGACGGAGACGGTGGCTGGCGAGTCCACTTCGACATAGCTACCTACCTGGCCCAACAGCCATTCAGCCGACAGATTCCCAGTCTTCGACTGATAGTAGCGGTTGTTGAAGCTAGTGAACAATTGGAGGTTTTTTCTCATATTGGCAGTGTCCAGTGCTGCCTTGAGCTCCTCAACAGTCGCCTTTTGCGCCAATTCTGTAGGATATGCGACTGTACGACCTGCAGATGCCCTGCCCGTACCGGGCCATTCCGTGATATCGACAAAGTCGACACCTTGCTGATGAAGCGTCAATCCAGTACTCTTTTACATGACACTATCTGGTGTTCTTGACAGACTTACGTCTTTCAAAGCGTTCTTTTCGGCCTCCGTTACGTGCCGGCTCTCTCCCGGTGCGGTTTCGATGGTGAAGGTTACAGCTCTTCTTTCCGACGATGCATATGGTGAGGCGAACGCTGTCGCGGCGAGAGCAGCCCATAGAAGTTGCCACATGTCAGCTAAAAGGGAGAATGTAATTTGAAAGCATGAACAGGTAACAAAATCAGCAGAAAACTGGCGGTCACACTCGGTATAAAGGTAAATGAGGTTTGCACGATACTGAGTCTATCAGGAGCATTGCGCGATCAAAACTTCGTGCGACATGCATAACGCTTTGTACCTGGCGCCATAACCGACCGCATGTTTCTGGCTAAGCTGGTATATTGCAAAGACATGGCCAAGGCTCCAGTCGCGCTCCAAGTTGATTTCGTCTGACTTCGTCCACGCAAGCTCCGGCACTTCTGCTTACCTAGGTACCTCCGGTTACTCCGCGCATGCAAGGCGGTCGCTGTAGGACGCATCGTACATCAATCGCGTTGCATCCTGCTGATTCAAATCTCCTGAGGCAATGCGCAGAAGAACTTGAGATGAAGTGCATGATGCGGTCTGCGATGGGGCCTGTTGAGCAGTCACCCGTCGACGCAGGCACCAGGGTTGTGCTGGCCCCAGCGTTAGCCCCTGTTACTAGGCGAGGGCCTCGAATATTCGACCGCCGATACCTCCGCACTGCCTTGCTCCATCAACTCCACCTGGGCACCCTGCGCATCGATCAACGCCAAGAAACGTAGCTGCATCCGGAGCTGATTGACCTTGGAGCGCTTCGCATCTCTAGTAAGCTGTGGTACTACATTGCGGCAAGCTTTGGCACTACAGGTTGCACTGTTTACGCCGGCGTGATCTCAGCCACGAATATTAGGGCGCGCTTACACAATGGCCATTTCCAACGAGACGCCCGGTCTGCGAGCCGAAATTCTCGTCGACGGGCAACCATTACCTGAGTACGAGGACGATGAGGCTGAGCTGAACACAGTCACAAGATACATTGAAGCATCGTCAAACAAAGAGTTTGTTTTGAGATGGGAATTCGGACATCCCTTTCCTGAACGGTATGGAGTGGAGATGCGGGTTTCGATCGATGGCGCGGCATATCGCGTCAAGATCAAGGAAGCCAATGAGCTCTACAGACCAGGCGGACATACCAAGACAGGCGTTGGGCACAAGAAGAACCATCAATGCTTTCGACGGAATTATCGCTTCACTGCCTTGAACATTGGTCAAGCTCAAATACTCACTCGGAATTACACATATACTAACATATACGTAGTTGAGGAAGTTCCTGGAACCGTAAACGCTCGACAGCTCAAACAAGACCTTGAGTCGAAGGGAAACATTCGCATGGAGTTTCGTTTTATCTCGAACATGCGAGAGTCAAACGGAGACCACCGGAGCAGCAAGAAGGCTACCCTACAGCCCATGGGCGCGATTCCGGAGAAAGCATTGAAAGGCGACGCGAGATCACATCAAGCCACGTGCGTCCCGTGTACCGAATGGATCTACGAGCATCGCTAACTCAAATGTAGGCTAGGAGAACCCCGTCCTGCGCGGCCCCGAAGAGCACGGCAGGAGTACGACTATGTCGATGCAACACCTTTCGCCACATTCGTCTTTAAGTACCGCTCGCGGGGTAAGTAATAGCTGCGTTACTTGTTCGATATTTGCTGACTTCCTTCGCGCAACAGCATCTCTCAAGGCCCTGCGCATCATCAATGATGCTGAAGATGTGGATGCGCGGTCTTTAGACGACATGCCAGAAGACTCGATGAATGAACATCAATTGAGGGAAGCACTTCGACGTGCTAGAAGGGTATGATCAAGGCCCTTTGTATTTCTGTCTCGGTATACTGACTATGTCGCAGCAAGACGCAAACGGTCGTAGTGTTAAGCAAGAGACTCATGCTTCGCGAAGGGTCAAGCGAGAGCGCACAGAGACAGCGACTCTAGCAGATGATAACAATGACGAAGTTACTATCGTTGAATCGAGATCTCGCAAACGTCCGCGTGGCGAGCCAGAGGTAATTGTGCTGGACTAACCTTGATCCTCAACCTAGCTGGAGCAATATCCCGAGAATTCAGTGTGCTGCCTTGCTCGGCTGTGACGCCTTGTGTCGACGCCTTCATGTAACAGTAAAGACAAAGGTGTCCTAACGCCATCCACGTAATAACAAATCATATTGCACGATGATCCATCATTCCATAAATTTGACCTTGCTACTGCCACTCACTCACATCGCGACTGTCTTGCTATGTCCAATTTCACCTCGATCTCAACAGCCGGCGTCTCTCACTGTTTTACTAGCGGGTTTGGAGGCCTGCAGCAGAATACAAGAAACTTTTGCTCATCCAGCATCCTCCTTCTCCCCTACCCACAACTCTCCAGCAGGACAAAGCATCTACTCAAGCTCAGCATGGTCACTCCTCCATCATGCCCCGGACTTCACGTCGAGATCCTGGTTAATGGCCAGCCGCTCCAAGAGTACGACGATATCGATGAAAGCTCTGTTCCGCTGAACACCATTACGAAATACATCGAAGCCCGCTCTGATGTAAACTTCGCTGTCAGAGCTAGGTTCGACGAGGGCTTCCTATTTCCGGCAGGCGATATTAAGTTTGAGACCACATTGGATCGGCGATATGAGGCACGCTGCGTTATTAAAGCTGCCAAACTTTTTCAGGCGAAAGGCAAAATCAGCGAAGGACCTACCTCTCGCATTGGTGAAACGACCAATGCGTTATACAAATATCGGTTTAAGGCTCTCGACCTAGGTATGCTAGTTCTCCCATGTCATTTTTTTACCATGACCTGGAAAAGATGCTTACCGTACCCAGTCGAAGACACCGGTCCTCAGGTAGGAGAAGGATTAATGAGAGACATTCAGGCTATGGGGATCATCACCGCCAAGCTACAATACATTCGTGAGATACGACCAGACGAGGCCAAGATCGGTTTCCGAGACAGCAAATCCTTCGGCGAGATTCCAGAGAAGGCTTTCAAAGGTCAACCCAAGTCACACTATGGCGGGTAGGTTCCAACCAATACAAGTGTGACTTGCGTGATGGTTCGCGGATATACTGACCTCAGACAGCATAGATCTCGCCATACCCATGAAGATCCACTGGCTCAATTACGACTACATTGGCAACGGACCTTTCGTCACTGTGAACTTCAAATACCGATCTCTAGGTACACATGTTCCAGCTTCGAACATATACTGCATGTACTAACTTTTGCAATTTAGATGTGCTTCGGGCTCTCCACATCATTCCCCGCGAACCGACTCCTCTTCCGATCGAAGATAGACCGATCGAGGACCTCAACCACGACGAGACGCGCGAAGTCCTACGTCTGTACAAGGTAAGTTCTCCTCTATATCAGAACTTTTCGCGTTACTGACTTGAGAAGAACCGCGAGGCAGAAGCGCTCAAGATTAAGAAGGAAGCCAACAACAAGCGCGCCCGATCCGGTTCCGCTGAGACTGCAGGTGAGGACGACGTCGTGATCGTCGATGGCCCGAGCCACAAGCGTCGCCGCGGTGGGGATAGCGAGGTCATTGTGCTTGACTGAGCATGCGCATTACCTCATACGCAGGGCATACATGCTCGTAGAAGAGACATGGGCTAAAATTACGATGCAAACAACGAGGTATATCCTACGCTATCTAAAGCGGGTTCATGTCCATTTGAACCATGCAGATGGTATACATATCATGCCTATACTGAGCATACAACACCTTTCGCTTGTACCTTTTCGAAGCTCCACTTTCTCTGATGCGGGCTTTTGGGCGAGGATGTATTCAATGATGGTTGTCAGTTTATACTGTATGGTGTCGTACTCTCATAACTGAGCGTGGTCATACCATCATCCTCTTCATCAACATATGTAAGTGTTCTAGTGGCTAGCTTGGCACTTAATCACTCATTCTCACCTCTGAGACTCCGCAACACCCTTCAGATACGTTGCCATCGATCTGAATGTTACGATACGCCCTTTTTCGATTGTGCATGTCCCATGAGTCCTATGTACGCTATCACCGTGAATCTCGCTGTTTGATCAGCGTCTTTCACCTCCAGGCGACTTGCACATTTGGCTTCATGTTCACCGCTCACCAGCAAGCTAGCTTCACTTCACTTTAGCGCCTATGCCAGATTATATTTGGGCGTCGTAACCTCTTATTCTCCACCACTTCTTTACAACTACCCGACGCCACCGACTAGCCAGGTCACCATGGCCGTCATCGAAGATATCCCCGGTCTGACAGTTAAGGTCATCGCAAACGGTGCGCCGCTTGATGAGTATAGCGATGCAGATGCCGACGACCATCCCAAGCAGGCCACGAATTACATAGAAGTGCATTCCGAGGGCACTTTCGAGATCCTGATCCAATTCTTCGAGGGTTTTGTCGCCACCTATGGCGTTCGAGTCGAGATCCGGCTTGACGGCACCAAGGTCAGTTCGTCCTTGACTCGCCTGAGCAAGCTCAAGGAGGCAGGAGGTCACAAGACTTCAGGTGTCCGCTCCAAGATTGGTGGTAGATGGCACGAGTCAAACTTTGTGTTCTCTCCTTTCGTCTTGGGTGAGTAAATTTCCCTCTTAAATCTAGTATCGATGCTCATTGTGCCCATCTTAGACCAGCGCAACAACCGAGAGCTCGATCAGGTTACTGCAGACAGACTGAGCAAGGCTGGTACCATTACGGTTCTGATTCATCGCATCAAGAACATGAGGTGGCCTCGTGCCAGGGCTTCGAAAGTCGAGGCATCTGACATTGCTCATGGTGTCGCAAAATTCGGCGTCATGCCAGCAAACAAGGTGAATGCCCTTGGCTTGACCCATCATGGAGAGTAAGTTAATCTCCTACACATGTCAGTCTTCACTCGCTAAAGATGCCAGTGTCGGCGCACCTCAGCAGAAGAGGTCTAGGAAGTCGTATCATTATGACAGCGTGGACGGAAAGGAGGATGGAGACGCATTTGCCGTCTTTCAATTCAAGTACCGCTCGCTCGGTCAGTCATACCCTGCAAAGTTTGTAGTTCATACTGACAATTATTCTCCAGAGACCCTCAGAACACTTGGAATTGTTCCCGCCGTCTTTCAGCCCAGCCCACCTGCAACTCCGACTTCCAGTGCTCACCGTACTCCCTTGCCACAACAGCAAATTTCCGCAGCTCCCCATGTCAACAATCACGACAGTCTGAGCTGTGAGGAGCTCGTCGCCATAGTCGGCAGCTATCGCGGTCATTTCCGCGGTCTTGACGGTCTCAATGAGAAGGAGCTCCTGTCTCTTCTCCAGCATCATAGGGTACGCACAACACAGTTCTCGAGACGTAACTTTTCTGACGAAGCACAGAATATGGACAGCATGCAAGGTACCAAGCGCAAAGCATATGACGATGTCGAGATGGGTGGAGCGCAGAAGAAGTAGATGCTGGACTTGCATACAAGGAGGATTCACGTTGGTCTGTTGGGAATGCGGTGGAGTTGAGAGACCCGGGAGAGTCTAGTTCAACGAGAGATATCGCGGAATGTTTGACGAGACAGATTTCGCACGGGACTTTTCGTATACTTAAGGACTACAATGCGTTTTCGCTTTGGAAGGCGCACACGAAGTAGCCACGCATAGCACATCAAATTTGCAAGTAACTTATTCTCTTGCCACTACTCCCTCTACTCTACCACCTCCCCACCCCACTTGTCGGCGCCGCATAAACACTACTCCAACTCGCCTGATACACACTCGTCCCCACAACCGTCTGACTCTTCACATCCTCAAAGCTCGCGCTCGTAACCACGCTACTCGCAATCCACGTACTCCATGGCACATGCGTCGTCACTCCCGTCGGCGCACCCACACTGACACTTGTCGTGCTCGACCATGCACCGCTCCACACAGTTGGCCCAGGGATAACGTAGTCCGTGACGCAAGGCGTGGTGGACGTTTTCGCAGGGGCGGGTTTCGGTGGAGCAGTAGACCTTCATCTTCAGTTAGCAACCTGATATTTAGAGCATAAAAAGGAAGGGAAGTAAATACATTATGCACAACACCCTCATCCCCATACCCATACGCGCCCGGAAACCCCACTCCATCACTCGGCAACGCCACGTCCCCATCCCCAACAACTTCAATCTGCACACAATCCGGGTAAAACTGCGCACCGCGCCGCGGATTGGCGATGTAGCTGACGTCGCCTTCGTGCAGGGCGATCATTTCGGCGCGGATCAAGTAGGGGCCCGGTTTGAGGGCGGCAGGGATGCGCATGTTCATGTGTCCGTAGTGGGCGCGGATGTCGGATGTTGTGGACCAGAGCCCGGGCTGGGGGAAGGGGAGGGAGGTTTTGCCGGAGTGCCAGAGTTTGATGAAGGAGGAGGGGGTGGGCGGGTCAGGGGAGATATAGATTAGTGATGGGCCTGGGGGAGGTCAGTTGGAGATTGTCATGAGGTTGTGATTCATGTTACCGTGGTGGCTGTCGGCGATGATGTCGTCTGTGTCGTTGCGGTAGTCGTGGTGCCTTTCTTCGTGAACCTATGTTTCGCAGAAGTGATGAAGTACGTACCAATCAAATGTCAGATTGTCACCAGGCATGACTTTGATGGTCTCGGATGTCTGTATGTCACCCATGACATTGCATCGCAGATCGATCGAGGTCAAGTCTTTGACTGGGCCGTTGTTGTATCCGCCTTTGCCAGGCGCGCCGTTGTATGCTGGGGTACGAATGCCTTTGCCGGTGCCTTGGTCGATGCCATTGACGTAGACGCCCTGCATAGCCTGGTCAGAAAAGCAGTAGTAGAAACAGGGCTAACCATACCCAAATGAAGGTATGCGCAGCGGCTTGGCAGGCGAGAAGCGAGACGGCGATGGCTAGGGAACGAACCATAATGGTCGTAGGAAGGACGAAAACGGGGGTTGGACTTGACGGACAATAGGTCCCTCCTGGGAAGGACGGGAGAAGACTTATGTACGCTTATCTGGGTAGGAATCTGCGGAGTACCTAACGCTCGCAGCCCACAGTAATGGTTGTATTGCGTGCATATACCCGACTCACCCCATAGTGGCAATCTATGCGCCAAGTGGGCAAACACCACGCGAGGACGCGAAGGTGAACTATGCAACGGGAGGATCGGTCATGGCTCCGAGTGTGCGTTTCTCGGGACTGTATGCTGAGCTTCTGAACATGTTGTGGGATGTGTGTGATAGGATGGAACGTGCTCCGTGGCGCGGTCCACATATTGATGATCGTCCAACATCTAGCAATCGTTTTGTTCTGTGCATATACGAGCATCCACATACAGGTTGATCAAAGATAGGAAGTCTATCGATGGACCTCCTTTTGCTGACAAGCTGAGACGCTGAGAAATGCGGAATGGGACGTCCAATGAGCGCAAAGAGAACATGGTTCTGGATGCATCTCTTATCTGATTGAAGTGCCAAAGATCAGAGGCGAGACCTGTGAGTGACGGAGAAGGCGTGAGGAACAACGGGAGAAATCTCATTCTCACTTTCCCTTCTCTCAGCCTCTCTCCAAATCCTCACCAACGGCCCATCCACTCCATACACCGGATCCTGCTCTGGCACCCCCACAGCCCTTATCTCCTTCTTCAAATTCTCAATCTCTTCTTCGCCCCTGCAGTACAAATTGCGCCACTTGGGTGCGGTCTATCGAACGTCAGTAGCCTCTCCTCAAATTTCCATGTTCGTACGTGCCTCAGGATAAACGCCAATGTACCTGTATCCGCCCTCACTCGTCAGGCTACGATGCGACACGCCGGCAGGCACGACAACGACGTCGCCTGTGCTCACGTCGAATTCCACGCCTCCTTTGCCTTCGACACCGTCGATAGGTCTGGGACGGCCGAGGACGAGGCGGGATGAGCCTTGTATGATAGCTTCACGGCTTGCGCATTAGACGAAGAGCAAGGAAGTGGAGTAACGAATAGGTTGGGACTGGATACCATAACATTCATGTGTATTCGGATGGAAATGGGCGTTTGTTATCGTGCCCCATTCGCCCTGTCATGAAGTGTGAATAAAGCGGTTCGTCAGGATGCGAGTTGGGCATACGCGTTTCTCCCAGCCATGGCTTTCGCAGAGCTGTTTTGCAGATTCGGAAGTGTATGGGGTGGGAAGGACGTTGCGGTAGACTAGGGCGGGGAGTGGATTGTTGGGTACATTGTTAGTTGGTGGGAGGGGGTATTGTTCTGGGTCTGTAATCGTCATAATTGCGATTGGAAGAAGATGCAAGCTGAAGACGATATTTTATTGCGAACGCTGAATGCTACTCAATATGTAGTTTGTTGATGTCGTAAGCCCAAGTACGATGAGATGCCCCGCCAAAATGACGTGGGGAAGAGCCGGGAAGGTGCGACGGTCGCAACTGCCTTTACTGGCATGCGAAGCCGTAACGCGATCACATGACGATCATTTCACCCATCTGCACACGTGAGCATGCGACGCATCCATGAACTTTGGAAGTGGTTGATGGACAATGGGTGACGAGTGGTCGTCTGCTTCAACGTTGCGTGTTCACAAAGCTCAATGCACGTGGACTCAATTAAAAGCACGCTGCTTCAATACAGCACGATTGTTGAAGACAGCATTGATAATGCGCGAATGTATGTGACCTCTGCTGATTCCCAATCTCTCAGTGTACTCGGAACGAGTGTATCCAGATCGGGCGCCCAGCCATGGGCCTGCTCTCCTCTACGCGCAGCGCGAAAACAGGCTCGTCATTGAAAAATCGAGTCTGCCGTTAAGTAGTGTTTGTTGTGCTGGCGGTGATGAGAAGAGAAGAGAGGAGCGTGAAAATCGAGAGTTTTGAGGAAATTCGGAGCTTGGGCATTGGGCTAGTCTCGATTGGGTCGCTAGCGCAAGGAATGTTGGACCTTGGAATCTGGCCGCAACTCAGCGCCGCGACACCGTAGCGACTTCAATCACAGCTGCAGCCTTGAGAGACGAGTGGTAGCGGACACGTTGTTGATTGTGTGCCTTCCTCTGTACTCTCGCGCCTTCCCTCCTGTCCTCGCGAGCTCCCTCACCGCCCCGCCAATTCCATCCGTGGGCGCAGACTATCCCACCAGCACCACTCCCACCACCGCCAACCCTCCCTAATACCACCACAAGATGGCCGACTTCGAGGCAATGAAGGATACGTGGAGCGATGTTGAGGATCGGGACGGTGTCCGCCTCAGCTGGAACACATTTCCCAGCTCGCGCATGGTATGCCGGCAAGCAGCATCCATGTCACGGGACGCACGCTGACAGGTGCTACAGGAAGCCTCGCGCCTCGTTGTACCCATTGGTGCTCTTTACACGCCCCTGAAGGAGAAGACAGACACGCCATTGCTGCAGTATGAGCCCGTCGTGTGCCGGGCGCCCTGCAAGGGTGTGCTCAACCCATACTGGTATGCTCAGTGGGGATGAGAGTATATGCGACTGCTAAGAAGACTTCAGTCAGGTTGATATGCGCGCCCGCGTCTGGATATGCCCGTTCTGCCTCAACCGCAACCAGCTCCCACCCCACTACAAGGACATCTCGCAGGAACAGATCCCGCCCGAGCTGCACCCGAGCAGCACCACCATCGAGTACCGTCTCCCCAAGCCCGCGAGATGCGCCCCCATCTTCATATTCGTCATCGACACGTGCCAGGAAGAGGATAGCTTGAAGGCGCTCAAGGACTCCATCATCATGAGCTTGAGCCTGTTGCCACGCATACGCCCTCGTTGGTTTGATCACATACGGCACAATGGTAGGATGAGCATTGGATTGAAGGCATTGATCGCTGACACATACCAGACTCAAGTCCACGAGCTCGGCTACACCGAATGCGCCAAGTCGTACGTCTTCCGCGGAAACAAAGACTACTCCACCAAACAGGTGCAGACTATGATCGGCCTGGGCCAGATGGCAGCCCCTCGTCCCGGCATGCAGGCACAGCCGGGACAGCCCGGTGGCGCCCCTCCCACTGCTGCAATGCGCTTCATCCTCCCTGTCGGTCAATGCGAATTCCAGTTGACCAACGTTCTCGAGTCACTTCAGCGGGATCCTTGGCCAGTCGCAAACGACAAGCGTGCGCTGCGATGCACCGGTGTCGCGCTGAGTGTGGCTTCTGGCCTTCTCGAGGCGAGCAACTTTGTGAACACAGGCGCCCGCATCATGTTGTTCGCCGGTGGCCCAGCGACAGAGGGGCCCGGTATGGTTGTCGGACCAGAGCTCCGTGAGCCCATCCGATCGCACCACGACATCGACCGCGACAACATCAAGTACTACAAGAAGGCGCTCAAGTTCTACGAGACTCTTGCCAAGCGCGTCTCGACAAATGGCCACATTGTCGACATTTTCGCCGGATGTCTGGACCAGGTCGGTCTACTCGAAATGAGGGGTTTGGCCAACACGACTGGTGGCCATATGATCTTGACGGATAGCTTCACATCCTCCATGTACAAGCAGTCGTTTGCTCGCGTCTTCAACAAGGACGCCGACGACAACCTGCTCATGGGCTTCAACGCCGAGATGGAGGTTCTGACCACCAAGGAGTTGAAGGTCACCGGTCTCATTGGACACGCTGTGTCTCTCAACAAGAAGTCTGTCAATGTGGGCGAGACCGAGTGCGGTATCGGCAACACTTGCGCCTGGAAGATGTGCGGTATCGACCCAGAAGCCAGCTATGGTATCTACTTCGAGATTGCTGGACAGGGTGGACCGAGTGGGATGACCGGTGGTGCGCCGCAGGCCATCATGCAATTCCTTACATACTACCAGCATTCCTCTGGACAAATGCACTTGAGGGGTAAGTCGTCCATTCTACGGCTTATCTTTGATACTAACAACGTCAGTGACTACCGTCTCCCGTCCCATGAGCGGTCCTTCTGGCGATCCCGCGCTCGCGCAATCTTTCGACCAAGAAGCCGCTGCTGTGCTCATGTCGAGAATAGCCGTGTTCAAGGCCGAGGTGGACGACGGTCCAGATGTCTTGCGATGGGTCGACCGCATGCTCATCCGACTCTGCTCGCGATTCGCTGAGTACAGGAAGGACGACCCATCATCTTTCAGGTATGTGGAATTTGGCATCTTTCGAAACACCACGCTAACTGTTCCAGGCTCGAGAAGAACTTCACGCTGTACCCACAGTTCATGTTCCATCTGCGCCGATCACAATTCTTGCAGGTCTTCAACAACTCGCCCGATGAGACCGCTTTCTACCGCCACGTTCTGAACCACGAGGACGTCGGCAATTCCCTCGTCATGATCCAGCCCACACTCGACAGCTACGGCTTCGACCACGAAGGCGGTCAGCCCGTGCTTCTCGACTCGGCATCCATTCAATCGGAAACCGTCCTCCTTCTCGACACCTTCTTCCACATCCTCATCTTCCACGGCGAGACCATGGCTGAGTGGCGGAAAGCGGGCTACCAGGATCAAGAGGGTTACGAGAACTTCCGCACGCTACTCGAGGCGCCCAAGGAAGATGCCAAAGACCTCATCCAGGACCGATTCCCGTTGCCGCGATTCATTGTTTGTGATGCGGGTGGTTCGCAGGCGCGTTTCTTGCTGTCGAAGCTCAATCCCAGTACCACACATCAGACGAGCACCTATGGCGGTGTTGCGCAGACTGCGCAGACGATCTTCACGGATGATGTTAGCTTGCAGACGTTTATGGACCATCTGATGAAGTTGGCTGTCAGTGGAACGAGTTAAGCGGGCTGAAGGATTGTCTGGGTGATGAGGTTGGATGGTTGTAGCATTAGTGGTTTGAGGCGATGTAGTGTAGACGATTACATGAAGAAAATGAATTATTATCAAACTTCCATTCGTTAGTCCCTTGGTGATGGAGAGCTGTTGGAGTTAGGGGAACATTCGTGATGTGTCGAGCCAATCCAAGATTGGGTCGGACTGTCTTTGTTTTGCGTGCGAATGTGAAGGATTTTGGTAGTGGTATTTGTGAAGCGTTGATGCTATGGCACATTGGTTTGACGTGGTAGGAAATTGTTCCTAGGAAATGAGGACTAGTGACGAAGATTGATGCCTACATTACATATGTACAATATCAATTTTCTTTATCAGTACTTCTTATCTAGTGCAGCTCTCAGTACACTGTTTTTCACTGCTCCGCAAATCCGAACATTTGCTCCTCTTGTATAGGGCACGCGCCTCTAGCCCGGCCTCGTAGTTCTCAAGCAGTAGGAGCGAAGGGCAGTCCGATCCTTGCATTCTCCTTGAAGTCTTAATGGGTACCCGAATAATGGCAAAATATTGATAATGCGTGAATCATAAAGCATTTCGACCACGACGAAGATTAGACCATTGCCTGAATTCGAGCCACTCTTCAACGTCGTTTTGGAGTGAACGCATCGAGCGTTGTTGGTTGCGTTTGATGCAATCTGCATCATAACTATGTTAGACAATGCCGTATGTATGCCGGAAGAGTTTGCTCACACTTGAAAGGGTAGCTAATCCATTCGCGTAACTTTGAGAAAGAGAGCAGGAGAGTGACGAGAATGCCAGTGATTGCGACGATGACACCAATCAGAGTGAAGATGGCTTCATTTGACCAGGTAGACGAGGCTGAGGTGGATGTGATTGGTCGCGCTTCGGTTGTGCTTGGTATTGCTGGGTGTGGTAGTGGTGCTGCATAGGTGCAGACGGCTAGGCCGCATGCGAGGAGCAATCTTAGGGGCGAGGTCATGGCCAGAAGGTCACGTGCTGACTGCGATACAGCGCTGTAAGGTTGCCCAGGTGTGAGTACCATGAAATATTTAGGGAGAAACGACAATCAGACGATGTGCAGGTGTTCTCCGAGGTCAAATGTAGTCAGTGTATTGCGACCGATGCCCTTCCTTTTGCGCTGAAGGAAAGGGTTGACATATGTATAATGAAGACCACATGTGAATCGGGTTAGCTCTCCGGTCTGTGGCCTTTTGCGGCTCTGTGACTGACGCCCACCAGGCAACCAGGCAACCGCTAGCAAGGGTGTGCAGCATATGTTACCGGTCTCTAAGTGGCCCTTCCCTGATCCACTACTGCTGGCCACCCTGCTGATATTAATGAATGGCACGACCTCATTCATTGACACTTTGAGGCCGCATACTGCTGCGCCCAGGTCGAGAGCACTTGACACCAGAATGTATTCAGTGTAGCTGGCAAGAAACTACTTATGTCAATTCTGGTACATGGCATCATAGTCAGGCATGACAAATACATAGTGCTCAGCCTTACATATAGTTGAGATCTGCTGAAGAGATTTGACAATATTCTAGCCTCGTGCGGGGTTCGACTTTCCGGGAACGAGCTAAGCATTTCATCGTACGTGTAACATCTTACTTCTCATAGTGAACGAAAAGTAGGGGTTCTTAAGTAAGTTGGTAAGTTTTTAGCAAGCTAACAAGAAGTTTCAATAAACCTCACTTTTTAAGTCAACGAAAGGCCAATAGGAGAAGACTGGATGCAGCACTGTCTTTTTTTGACTTCTTCCCGACAGTCTTGACTGAAGGATAAATGTAATCTCAGTCGTACTTCATCATATAGCTTTAGTACTTCTTGGAGCTCCTCTACTCATTACCAAACAAGCCAGTTCTCTTTTCCTCCATATTGCCTACTCCCCGAGACATATTAATCCTTCACATCATCTGTACCACGGTACCAAGTACATAGATCAGCACGATCAACAACACAGTGTCACACCGACATAATCCAGTAGTTACGTGGCAAGAACCGAAGAGTGAGACTTGACTTAACAGTTTCGTCTTCCACCGCTCAGCTATCTCCCTAGTTCTAGGTTGCAATACTCGCACGATCCTAATGTCAGCATGAAGAAGAGTGATTGAGAGGAAGAAGAAAAGTGTCATGTCATTTTGGTATAAATCGTGAACATGGCCGCATGCCCCCCATGAAGATCCGGTACATTGCCCACATCCACGTTGGTCAATGGTAAAGAAGTCCCGCCGCTATGCTAACAAACACCCAGCTAAACCCTATTTTTGTGTATCCGTAACGAGGCTGACACAGCACGTCGAGCAAACAACCTTGATAGAAAGTGTAAAGAAGCTTAGGCCTTGGCCTTCTTAGCCTTCTTTGGTTTAGCGACGTCTTGCTCGACCTTCGCCTTGCGCTTCTTCTCGGGTGTCTCGTCAGCGACAACAGCGGGGTTGGTTTCCTTCTTGGCCTTCTTGCTCTTGACGGTGACTTCTGCGACCACAGGCTCTTCCGCTCCAGCGACAGTCTCGGCAGCAACGTCGGACTTGCGTTTCCTGCCCTTAGTCGCCTTCTTCTCTGGAGTAGGTGCGCCGACGTTAGCAGCAATCTCGGCTTGGAGATCTGCCTCGATGGCTATGGGTTGCTGTTCAACGTCGACCTTTGCGGCCTTCTTGCCCTTCTTGCCCTTCACTGGGGTCTCCTCGACTGGCGCCTCGGTGAGCTGTGGAGCATCTCCATTCGTCAGGTGCTTGGGCACTGCGTCGACTCCTTTCAGTGCGGGTGCGTTGAACTCGTAGCCAAACTCCTCTTTCAGGGCCTTGCTCCTGCCTGTGCGCCTCTTGTTCTCGTGCTCAACACGCTTCTCCCACTGTGCTCGCTCAACGCCGCGTTCCATCTGGAGACCGGCCTTCTTATTGCGAGGGTCGACCTTGAATCGCTCACCAGCACCCTTGAAAAGGTTCTCGTTGACCTGGTCGGCGGGAATAAGCTCTGCACTTGAGGATATGGCCGAAGAGCAGGTACGAGTCCATAGTTCGTCGCAACGATGTCGGCGACTTCGGTGGACTGGAACTCGACGAAGGTCGTAGTGCTTGGAGGCACCGGTCTTCTTGTTGCGCGAGAGTCGGAGGCGCGTGACCCGGCCGAACTGAGAGAAATACTTCTTCATCTGAGGCTCGAAGAAACCGCGGGGCACACGACTGTACAGATGTTAGTTCAGTGATGGCGCAGATGAATGAAGATGCACGTACCCGACATAGACAACACCAGGCTCATTTGATCGGGCACCTTGGGTAGCCTTCTCGAGTGCGGTCCGTTGTTTCTTGTTAAGCTTAGGGACTGGGGCATCATCGTCGAAGTTCAGGTCGTTCTCCGGGTCGTCGCTGTCGTCGGAACTCTCAAAACCAGCGAGAAGAGCGGCAGTCTGGTCGTCCTCAGGAATGTCGCCCTCTACCACTTCCTCAACGACCTCCTCAACGGGCTCCTCCTCGACCTTCTTCCCGCCCTTGGCCTTCTTCGTCTTCTTGGCGGGCGCTTCAACGACGACTTCTTTGGTGGCCACTTCTTCGACAACTGGCGCAGGCTCGGCCTTCTCCTTCTTTCCCTTCTTTGCGGGCTTGGTCTTCTCCTTGGGCGCGTCAACAACGGGCGCTTCTTCAGCCTCGACCGCCTTGGCTTTTTTGCTCTGCTTCTTTGGCTTTGAGACTTCTGGCGCAGGCGCAGCAGGCTCGGGGGCGTCGCCATTGGTGTCTGCGGGCGGCCTTGCTCTTCTTCTTGCTCTTGGTGACCTTCACTACCTCTGTCACCCGTCTCCTCGACAGGGCTCAGCGGCGGCTTCGTCCTCAGACATGAAGTCGGCAGCTTCCTTGCGCGCAGCTTTGCCTCGGGTGGTCTTGGTCACCGTCTTTGTGACAGTTGCTACGGGCGCGGCTTTGGCAGCCTTTGCGGGCTTGGTCGTGGCAGCGACATCGTCCGACTTTCTGGGCTTCTTCGCCTTGGGCGCAGCATCTTGCGCGCCTACACACGCGCGTCAGCAGATATGCATCAATTAAGCTACAAAGTCACTCACTCTTGCGCTTCTTTCCTTTGGTGTCTTCGGCAGCCATTGTTCGGTTATTTGCGTGTTTTGTTGGTGTCAAGGCGCAATCCGTCGTGGGTGAGAAAAGTTGACGCGGGAGCTTGGACATGTAACTTTTCTGCCGCTAGTGAATGCGCGCCAAGGCGCCTCGACATTAGGAACCGCGAACCCGATCAGCTAAACACATCATCAAAACAACAAAGATCGCGCATCTGACCATCCTGTACTATACCAATCACTCCATAGACTGCACCAACCTTGAATAAACACCGTCGACTCACCAAGCTCGACTTGTTTCGCACCATAGCCGCCTACCTATTTGAACACGCGCGAGCTCGCCCAACATGGCTCCAGGCATTGACATGAATGACCGCAACGCCTGGGACGATTCCTATCTCATCAAATCATGGGACGAGACTGTCAAGGAGTATGAGGTAGGATCTTCAATCATCGATTCAATCATTGTTTAACCATGAGCAGAAGTATCACAGCATCCACAAGTCCGGGAAGCGACTGGAGGATGCCTTGAGCGAAGAAGAGCTCAAAGAATTGCGAGAGTGAGTTGACAAGTTTAGCACATCAGCACATGTTGACATTTTCAGGGATCATGGGGAGTACCTCGATGAAGCTGAGACCTCATCTGGAGCCGTTGCAGAGACCAATGGCGACGCGGATCAGCCAGATACCGACATGACCCACGAGGATGGCAACAATGTCGAGCATCTCGTCCAAGCAGAATCACCGCAGCAGGTACGAGATCATCGCGCAGTGCCACTTACCGAACCCTGTCTGACACATACTAGGCACCGCATCCATCACAGCCGCAACAGACCCAGACGGTCGCCATTGACGATCCGGCGCGGCAGGAAGGGGCTCATGCAGCCTCAATGCCACAGGCTCTGCTCGGCACAGGTATGTTCCTCGCATCGATTTCTTGGCCCGGCCAAGAGATTCGAAGAAACATTGACAGGAAACGCTCTGACGTAAGACAGTGCAAGATGAGAATCTCAGGAACATCATGATGTCCTGGTACTATGCTGGCTACTACACGGGATTGCACGCGGGACAGCAACAGGTGCCCAAAAACACACCGCCAAAGCAGCAGTGATGGACCCTTGTCGAGAACCACGTGTACAGTGCCATTGACCGACAACGGGTCGAACGGCTTTCGACATTTTGCAAACCAGGAGAAACATCGTGGCTGGGTCCTGACGGGTGATCAACCAATGAAACGCTCATGACCGCTCGCCTAGTGTGGCGCCCTCCGCAACCGTTAACAGTTCGTGCCTCACAACGCTCGGAACCCAAGGCAGCGAGATGACCAGTCTAGCCATGTTCATGCGGCGAAAAGTCTTCCAGCCTCAACGCTCAGGGTATGCCAATAGTTAAATCGGGGTGTTAAGATCTTGGATTACCGCATTTGGGGTGACTAGGCGTAAGCGAGACGGATCTGCGACAGTACCGCGACAAACCTCGAACCCATCTACAACAGTTCGGGCTTCATCCGACCCTGGCCCTGCTTGCGCATCGTCACAATCTGTTGATTCTTGCAGGACCTGCAGCTGTTTCTGCAGTGCATGCGCAGTGCCCAGAATGTCATGTTTCGCCGTGTGGGCGGCCTGCTGGCCCGCTGTCAATTTTATGCGTAGATTTATAGCTGCGGATGTCCCAGGCAGACCACTTCCGTTCCATCCATTCTTGCCTCATAACTGTCCCGGTTCCACTTTCGTTCTTCCTCTTCTACGTATTACTGTCTCGAGCCGGCTCATTTGTAGTGCCTTTTCTGTCCTTTACACTACTTCTTCACAGTACATTCTATTGCTTGCAGTGCAGGCACTTACATTCTTTCAACCAAACCCTTTTTTACGACACAAACAACTAGCAAAACCTTAGTCATAATGAAGTACTTTGCAGCACTATCCGTCGCGGCCAGCCTCGCTGCTGCTCAGGGCGACATGAAGGTCATGAACCTTGCACCCGCTGCCGCTGAAGGCCCAGCCACACACCACCGTAAGTGCCATCTTAGCATCAAACACGACATCAACCTAACAACTTTCCTAAGGTCGTCGTTGGTGGCCTCACGCCCGTAGCGACGGGAATGGCACCAGCTCTTCTCTACACCCCCGAGTCCATTACCGCCAAGGTCGGCGACGTCGTCATGTTCCAATTCATGCAGAAGAACCACACCGTCACCCAATCCACCTTCGCCGACCCGTGCCGAAAGATGGACGGAGGCATGGACTCCGGCTTCATGGCCAACCCCGAGGGCAAGCCCGGTGTCACCTGGAACATGACCGTTGAGACCGAGGAGGCTCTCTGTACGTTCTCCCCTAACCACCCCCTCCACATGGTACCTGAGACTAATGATATGTTCAGGGTTCTACTGCAAACAACAAAACGGCATCCACTGCGGCAAGGGCATGGTCTTCAGCATCAACGCCGCCACCACCGGCGACAAGACAATGGCCGACTTCAAGGCCCTCGCCGTCTCCACAAACGGCACCTCCCTCACCCCCGGCGGTCTGCAGAACGTCGACCCCGGCGCGGCCGCCGCCCCCACCACCGTCACCGTCGAGGCTGGCGGCATGGCTACGCACTCTGCTGCTCCTGGTGCTCCTCCCGCTGCCGGCGCACCCCCCGCGGTCGTTGGCGGACAGGGCCAGGACGGTCAGGGCTCCGCTTGCTCTTGCAGCTGCCTGTGCGGTGTGAACAGCTTCCCGGCTAGCGCGGCGATCAACAGCTTTGGCGGATTCCCCGGATTGATGTAAAGCGTTGGAACGCGGATGAGGATGGCATGTTTGTAATACGATGACGGCGATGGAGATGGGCTTTTGATAGGCTTGCAAGATGAGGTGGTGGAAGCATGATATACCAACAGTTATGTTAGGGCTGGGCGTTTTAAAGCATTATACCGATAATTTCCAGTGCTGTAGAAGTGCTGACTTTGTGTTTGGCTGGGGATGTGTTCGTAGAAAAGACAGTTAGAATCGAATCCAAGAGATGCGAAGTATTTTCAAGGTTCTTTTTGTGCTTTGATTTGCTAGTGACGTTATTACTCGGATGATTGCAGAAAGGAATAGGCGGGGAAGCGCAAGGTGTCGAAAAAATTGGCAAAAAGAATTGGTGTCTCTGTCGTGCAGCTTCGGTCTTTACATCAACACAAATAAATGTCCTGCTCTTCCACATCCCAGTCCACCCATTCTCGACTATCATCCTCACCCAGTGTATCCATAAAGCTCACTCCACCGTCCTCTTCTTCGTACCAATCTTTGCCTATGAGCGTCGTTGCACCTATTAACTGGTAACTCAAGTCTTGTTCTGCCTTTCGCAGCAGGCACGGTTTTGCGCAACCAAATATGAGAGCGCAAGAGTCTCCCTCTCGCGCAGGGAGCGGAGCTAGGCCAAGATATCCACGCTGCGTGAGGACAATTCGGCGGTTGTGAACTCGTGATCGGACCTTATCGAAGTAGAGGTCGATGGTATCGTCTGTCTCAGCCATGATCGAATCACCTTTTGAGTGCTGCCTATCGCCTGGGTTTTGCTTGAGCAGTACTTCCACTCTAAAGCGTTGGCGGGCTCGTCGCCATTGAGACCGCTCGCCATCGTAAATGCCACTGCTTAGCGCATCAAGGAATGCGTCCAGTCGGTATGACAGTGAACCGTATGGTGAATCTGTCTGGGCTAACATCACAGTGTCCCAGACGCTTTTCAGAGATTCTGAAGTTGTTGTATCCCAGTCGAAAACGTCGGACGCATAGTGTACGATATCAACGACTACACCTCGAACCTTCAGGAGTTCACTCTCAGTAATGAGTGGTTCAGGGGTAGAGAAAGTGCGGGATCGTATTCCAGACGATGCTGAGGATGACGGACTGAGCGACCATGTGCATATGTCCCAACGTGGTACCCAAGATGCAGTACCACTTATTAGGGATTCCTCGTCGTGGCTGACATAGTCTAGTAGCTCCGTACTTCCGGATGCTCGTATGTACTCTTCAGCAAAACGATGATATGTCTTCAAGTATGGGGCGAAGTAGTCCGGCCGTAACTGTATCTGAACAAGCTGTTCGGCGACCTGAGGCAGTGCCATGAAGGCGTATATTCGGTCACGCTGATTGCTGACATCTAGTTCTTTTGCACAATTCAATGTTCGCAGTATCGACAATTTTCCCCATGACATTTGGGTGTAGAAGGCTCGGCCAAAGTCTTTGTGGGTCTCCAGGTACACATCCAGATGCGCATTTATCTGGACTGAGTCGAATCCTTTGCCGTAGTAGATTTGGCCACCACGCGTGGTGAACCAGATGTAAAGACGCATCAACTTTTCCCATTCAAGTAGGCTTTGACCCCAGATCACTTGAGCGCGATGCGCTAATGCTGCTTCTTGGACGACCCACGCGCGATCAAACCAGCTTTGACTCACAAAAACGTGAAGCGAGTTCCATCGAGGATCCCTCCAGAAAGGTGTCTCTTCTGCTGAATCTTCTGGAAAAGAATTCCATGACATATCAATTTGTTGGCATGTATCCTCAATCATTTGATTGACGTCTTCCAGCAGTGAAATCACAGCTGGCCCGTGGCTATCATCATCTGAACCAATGTATATCAAGACGCTTTTCGCGAATCGGTAGATTTTACCCATTAGGCCAACTTGATGTCCTTTGTCTTGTGGGTTATCTTGATTGATGCATATGCTGTCTGCCCAGAGCGCTCGAGGTTTGTCGGGTAGTCGAACTCGCTTCAGAACTTTGGACAAAGCTTCGGTGATCATGAGATCATGATCGTCGCACTTAATGTGATGATCGCGCACCGAAGTGCCCCAGACATATGACACAGCGTCATACTCTGCGTTAGATATAGCATCAGTCTGCAAATTGCAGACAAGAGGATCATCCTTAACACCAGGTTGAAGGACAAGATATCGGAAGACATCGCCTTGAGGAAGTGTGCTGTACGTGTAGCTTCGTCGTAACGCTGGCATGGTTGTACTAGATGCACTCAGGGATATGTGCTGAGAGATGCTCGCCGAGATCTTCAGTCGGAAATTTCGTGTGGGTTGAGGTGGTTCGTGTATTTCGTAAGGCAGCCAGACCCTTTGAAGTTATATGCGGGTATGTCTGGGTGATTCTTGTCGTACTGGTTCAGATCAACCAATAGCCTCGCGCTGTCTGCCGCTTTGTGCAAGAACGAGGAACGGGCCGGGGCCGTCTGAAATGTGCAGCGAGTAAAATCTCACAGCAGGAGCAATCCAACAACACCATCTGCCTCTCTCACACACTCCCGGTTTCAGTGACCCGCGTTGTGGCGGTGCAGGTGCACATGCCGCACCATGTGCTGCAATTATTCTGGGCGCTGTGCCTCACTATCAAGGGCAATTCCGGTAAGCTGCCTAACTTCAAGGTTATTGTAGCTCTTCGCAACGAATTGATCAACTATAAGTCTGCTCAGGCTTACATGTTAGGTGACAGTTACATTTTAGTAGTAGATTGACACGAATTATTGCTGGACCGCATGTAGTGCATGACTTAGGGCGATGTCTTCTACACCTTCTGCCGCGAGCCTTTCGCACAATCTTCAACACGAATGTGGCCGAGTATGTCAGTCTGATTGCCGACAAGCGACCTGGATACACCTGGTTGCCGCTCTACTTCGTAGTGGTACACCTGATCTCGAGACCCAAGAAGCCTGGCAGGCTGGATTCGAGACGTGAATTTCAACGCTGCGCATTGAACAATTCGAGTTCGCTTATCGCGAAAATACAGGAATGTCCAGCGCAAGCGGGGGAAAAGTCAGCAAGACTGTTTCACAGTGTGCGACGATAGGTAACAGCAGTCATGATCTCGATGGGCTTGATGGGCTCGATGGGCTCGACCACGACTCGCCGGTTCCAGCAGCCCACGCGCGCGCTAAGTTTCCACGGTACCCGTATTTGCCGAGCAGCAAACCTGCGTTATTTTTATCCGATCTCTGTCGGGCTTACTGCACTTGAACCTCGATTCTCCACTGCCAGCATCAACTGTTTTCAGCATTCTAGCGTACCTCAGCTTCTACCGGAATTTTCTTCATCAAAATGGCACGTGGTAACCAGCGTGAGGAGGCCCGCAAGAAGAATCTGGCAAAGTCGGCAGGCGAAGTGAGTGACTCCATCTTGACCCACACCGCCTTTGCGATCGCATGCTGATGACTTTATACAGAAGAGTAAGAACACTGTAAGTTGATGTGCACATGCTGTAGGGGGGGTTTTCGAGACTGATGAAAATGTGAACAGCAATCTGGCACGCAATTCGCTCGCACCAAGGAGGAGCAGGCTGCCATTATGCGCGCCAAGCAGGAAGCCGGTATGTTTCGTCTCTGCCTATACGCGTTCCTTTGGACTATCAGTCCTAACATTCGGAATTCCTTTTGCTGATTGATTGCGTGAAGCCGAAGCGAAGAAGGCTGCTGCAAAGTAGATCACCTACAGGTGACGAGGACAACAACGAAGGCGCTACGCAATTCTGAGGAGATGGAGTTTTGGAAGATTTCAGGGGCAAATTCTGGATAGCGATGCCAATATACCGATTTGCTCTCGCGACTGCTGTGATGTTAGCCCATCGCGTCTTCGTCGGCCTTCGCACCAACACCAAGACTTCAACCCACCTTCCGCCCATTGCCTCACCCTTTACACACCTAACATATGATGCCTTTAAGCTCAAAAGCTCAAAATTCCGTCAGCATACCAATCAAGCAGAAAGATGGAACAGTCCGACCCGTGGTCTCGATTCAGTCTTGCTAGTGTCCTGCGGCATAACACAACGACCAGTTGCAAATTCAACTTCACTTATCTCGACTAGTACTAGAAGCTCTACACTCAACGACGTATGCGATTTGACATGACTGATGAAAGTTGAAAATAGCGCTGCGCAAGACTCAGCATGCTGCAGAGGTAGTCATTAGCAAAATCACAAATAAAACTCTTTGTCCATTCCCCTTCCTTGCACCCGTCCGTGCCATAAAGTCATCACCAGTCCGTCGACATATGTTACTGCAATACCTCGCGCGCGCCCTGCTTGAGATTCCAGTTTTGTGAGGTCGTTCAAACTATCCAGTGGGTCACACAACAGCTTCTATGGCTTCAACAGCTCATGTCAGCCCAGCGAATTCCCGGTGTGATATGTGTAGGACTCGAGAGAAAGTGATGTATCATGAGCCCGTGCGTTAGTTTGTAAAATAAAGAAGGAGTGAAATCATCAGGCTGCTACTGTGATAAACGATAATAGCGTAGTGACTGCGGAGAGTCCATATACCCAAGGTCACGCTAACACGATGCTCACTTTCTACTGATATAATTGTTCCTACTCATTTCCCGCCCCTATTTGTCAACCAATTTTCTAAGCTCGCTATCACCTTCACCCCTCAGAAAAAAACATGACCTCAACCTGCCTTGTCCGGAATATGCTTGACTTGCCACGCGAGCTGCGCGACATGGTGTACTCGTACTTCTGGGATGAACTGACCGTCCATTCTCTCCCACTTGCTCGAGTCCTCGATTCGGGTGGCGTATTAACCAAGATACCGCAAATCGCAGACAAGAAGCTCGTCGGCGAGCAAATAGCAGCAGAGGCAGTGGGTTGGCTATACAACAACTCGCTCCATCTTACCATCAATCGGCCCTCGGGTCTGCCAGGGTTCCTCAGCGACGACATCTTCGCAACTGGCGTGCGTGCTGAAGCATGTAGTCTGCGTCGACTTACCATCGAGATCACGGACATGGACTGCGACGTGTCAGGCTTACAAGCACTCACGACGGCAAAGCTTCGAAACGACTTTCATCTACATATTCGAATCGGCCTCGGGTCCAAGAGCATCAAAGGTATCGTTCACCTCGGCGTTCGACTCGCAGAATTACCTATTCCCGCGAGTGATGCCATGATCGTAGCAGAAGACGTGGAACCGTGGGATGTGACAGATCTGATGGGAGAACCATACTTGGCTTGGGAAGACGCTCTACATGGCGTGTTGTGATCTAGTACGGTTCGCCAGACACGGGTAAGTCAAGAGCGGAGAGGAGTGATGAGTTTATGTGCTGACTGGTTCAGTAGCTTTTTGCGAATCGGGCCACGATTGCCTTGTTGATGGAGGATTTTAGGGCTCAGATTAGGGCTATTCGTGGTCAACGCAGACGTTGCCGTTGCACAATTTTGTAAATGGCCGAGCGAGTAGATGCCAGAGGAGATGCCGAGGGAAGTACTTAGTTGGTCGTATCTCGAGTACAATGTCTGACTCTTGGGAGGCGGTCCGTACACCTTCATATTTTTCACGACACAGAAAAACTTTCAGGGACAGGGTCTGGTAGGTGTCAGCATATTGGATAGCCTGAAGCCATGCGAAGAAAGATGCTGTCGCATATGAAGTATAGTGATGCAAGTAGTGCTGCACAAAGCTTCCGACCAATCATATATCTGCAAGAGCCTCTTTGCTTCTCTTTGTACCTTGATTTACGATATTGCAGTACTAATTAGGCAAATATTAGAGCTGATGTGTGATCAATCACTGCACTTGTGAGCTTGTGCGTGGACATAAAACAACTTGAACTTCGTATTAGCCTCCCAGAACAAACTGCTTGAGCAACAGCGAATGCTGCATCTTTGCTCTAATACCGTGGTATGGTGTTGGCAACATCTAATCAATCTTGACCTTCATTCAAGGCATCATGGTGCATCCATAAGCCCTTCACTAACCCAATACAAGATCAGCCGTCTCCCCACAAGCACCACCTCATAAGATCAACAATCTTCCATCTCCCATTCGATCACCATTTTACCCGTCTCCACCCTCCACCAACCCATTCTCAATCTCGATCTCCTCCCGCGCCCCGCACCGATCCCGTCCCACCGCCCAATCACCACCGTGTCCACCATCCACCGCATCATGATCGCCGGACCCTGAGTTTCATCACACGAACACCAACGCAATGGTGATCTCACGAAAACGGATATCGGGTACATCGGGTGCAATTGAGCGGTCGTGGTGGACACAAGGTTCGCCGGATATGGGATTTCGTTTCGAGTGTGGTGGTGCGATGGAGTTTGGCATGGTGACTGGGCAGCGCACTGTGTGAAGGAGCATTGGAGCGCTGGAACGCCGAACGTAAGAAGCAAGTCCACGCGAAAGCATGCCGAGTTTACGGCACCTCTCGATAGTGTACAGGGTAATGAGAAGTAGCCCGCGACGTCACTTTTTGCTATTCATCCTCCTGGGCATGGTATGAGACGACTGGGTAGCGCACTGCTGTGTAAGCAATATTGGAACAGTACATGCGACTAAGCAAGCAGCATGTCAACGCACCAAATTCGAAAAGTATCAGATATTCAATATCTCTGCCGAGTATCATCCCTGCAAAGTCATCTATCGCATCGCATCCTCGACCAGGTCGTGCACTGTGTAAGAGTTTCAAGACTGACAAAAGTAAGCAGCACGTCAACACAGAAATGATACTGCCGAGTTTTGACTTCAAAAAACATCAAAACTTCGATGACTTTACGAGAATTACGCCTCGCAATATCGCGGCACTTTTTGCATCAGCCCTACCACCATGCACTACCTAGGTACCCCTCACACACCATCCATCCCATCCCATCCCATCCCACCAGCCAAACTCCCCGTCGGTCTATTCCATCATCTATCCCGCTCCTTCGTTTCGGTGAATTTCTCCCCTCACCCACGTTCGGCCAATTCTCCCCGACCATGCATTCCATCCTGCTTTGAAATCCACACCACACCACGCGTGCACAGCCTCGTTCGCCTAAACATACCTCGCCTCGAGCGAAGGGCGGGCGGCGCCGAAGCATACAAAGATCTAGAGCGCAGTTTAGAGTGCTGACACAGGCGCCCGGAAAAAAAAATGTATAGCGAGGGTAGGGTAGGGTAGGGTTGTGTCATGCATGCATGTGTTGAGGCTCATGTGCAGGCGTGCATGCGCTGAGGGAGAGTGAAAGGATTGGATATCGGCGTACGCGATGGTAAGCGCGGCATTGTAGCTTGAGAGACGGTAGCTGAAAGAGTCGCAGATGTCACTTCCATTGGATGGGCTATGTTTTGACGGAAGTATGTTTTTGCCAATCTGGGTCTTTATGTATTGCGGAAATGCTACATGGGGGCGCAGACACTTGTATGCTGCGGGCGCTTTGGTGTGGGTACAATCTTGGGTATCGGGAAATTCACAATGTAGGGTATCGACCAACAAGCGTGAAATAGCGTTGCTTATCATACGAGAAACGCGAATGTTGAAAAGGGAAAGAGTTTGATGTACTACAGTGTTCATACAATTACGGAACGCTCAAAGGAGCCAGATTAAATGATAATTGAGACCCGAAATCGAAAGATGCTCCGAGAATGAACCCCAGTCATTGAACCCTCTAATATTCATAGTTGCTTTTCCTTGGTATTCGTTGAATCATCGCTGCGCCTGCCCGTTGGTCGCTGAATCATTACGAAGTCGCTCAAAAAGGAGTAAAAGAAATGTTGTACAAGAAGAACGATATAATCAAACGCTAGACCAAGTAATCCTTGTGCCGACCAGCGGATGCGATGAAGAGAGTAGACCGAACATGGCGGGAAATAAGAAATGTCGCACTCCGGACGCAAATGCGGAAATAAGCAATGGAATCAACGAGATCGCTGCAACAACCCAAACGCCATGCATAGTGCATACTTTGAAGAAGAAAAACTGAAAATAAATCATTGCGGCCGTTCTCGATCACTTTGCAGAAATTTCGTGCATTGCGTGCGCTGCGTGAAGCCGGAGATGCATGTCATCGAATGTTCGCGGCCGTTCTGGAATGTACGTGTCATGTACGGGCGGTCATGCGCAGGCTGTGTTCTCCGCGGGCCACGGCCAACTCCGTCATAATGTCGGAAGCGGACTTGGCTCAGTCATGGTTCCCACCGCGCCGGCGATGTTTTCCGGGGAAGTCGACCTCAGGATGCACAACGCGCTGCACATCGTGTTAGCATGGTTGCGCCTAGTGATCGCGTTTGTGGTGAATTCTTACCATGTGGCGTGTTAATGCGTCGTTGCGAGAAAAGGTCTTCTCCTCGACGCACAAAGCACAGCGGACCTTTTGCTTACGTCCATTGTGGATTGTGTCTTCGTGTCGGGTGAGGTCGTACGGACGTGAGAACACGGTGTTGCACGGCTTGCCGGTGGTGGGGTTGATGCGCTCACACTTGTGGGGGCCGGCCTGTGAGTTGCGCTCCAGGATAGCCGCAGACGTCATAGTAGTGCCGAGGTTGGCGTTTCGATGACCCTCACGCTTATGCTTTTGGAGCTTTTGTGGAGTCTCGAAACGCTGGGAGCAGCCATGGTAGGTACACGAGTATGTGCCAGACTCCGCGGCGGAAGAAGTTGGCTTGTGTAGGAACTGCTCGCTTCCTTGGCTATTCGACGGTTCGGCCTCGCTCGCACTCGACTCCATGGACGTCAAGTGGGCCGGGAACTCTGGGGTCTGATCCACTGTTGAGGACATGTTTGGTACAGAGCGATACTGAGACGTCGATGATAATGGCATGTTGGTCATGTTACCCTGTACTGATGGCGTGACGAAGTTGAAGCTCGAGGATGACTGGAGTGATGGAGCAGCCGAGACAGGGTAGTTGGATGAGAATTGTGGAGTCGCCCAGCTGTCGCGACGATATGACTGAGACGATGGTGTCTCGAAGGCTGACTGGGTGGCGGACTGATATTGTTCGCCACCCTGATACTGAGCATCGTAGTCGTTAGCGCCACTGTCCGGGAACAATGACACCTTCGAGTCCTCGTCAGCTTCGCGGTAATCCAATAGCGCGTCCTTGGGCGAGATGGTCTTGGGCTCTGGATCCTGGCTAGACTGCATCTGCGACTTCATTGCGTAAGCAGCATCGGACTTACGACTCTGCTCACGTGCTGCAGCAGCAGTATGCATTGACGAGTTGAAGTTGTTGCTAGGCTGGCGGTATGGCGAGCCGCGTCGAAACGGTGAGTCACCTCTTGAGGCAGTGCTTGTTGGCGACTGTGACCGCGCGTACTGCGCTGCCTGCAATGCTCGCTGGACATTCTCGTTGGTGTTACTGCGATATGGCGACAGCAATGATGACTGAGCTGGCTTGGTCTGTGGTAATGACTGCGCTACAGCGCTGGGGTCGTAGAAGTTGTCGGCAGCAATGTCTGTGTAAGTCCTCTCGAACTTGGGGACAGTGTGCTGGCGTGTGTCTGGATCATCGTAAGTACAGAACTGGTTGAAGAGCCATGAGTCGACCATGCAGTGGGTCTCACCATTGGCAGGGACCTTGAAGTCCATCTCGTCCTGCGCAGTGTGCGGTGTGGCCGGCGAATCGTGACCGTAGCTTGACACGGACTGTCTGGCAGAGTGTGCAAAGTCAGGCACTTCATCGCCCTGGTCCATGAGCGCTTGTTTCAGCGACATGTGTGCGCCCATTGTCTGGTCCATGTTGGCAGAGTTTGTGTTGTAGTTGTTGAAGTTGTTCGAGTTCATAAACGACTCTTGTGTAGGTGTGTGTGTCGGAGTAGGAAGATGGTTGGAGAAAGACCTGTGTAGTTTGTCAGCCATGATCATGGAGTCACCTCGCGTAATCGCACACGACGGCATGATATTGGAGTCGGCGACATACTGGTAGCTATTTGAAGGTCCTGCTGCCTGAAACTGTGAGGCACTCGAGCCCACGGACGATGAAGAAGACGCTCGCTGGTGTCCTCTTACGGGTGTCTGTAGTGACTGGCTCTGCGCGTTGCTGTAGTTCCACGATTCAAGACCGGCACCGTTGCTGTTGGTCGATAGCATGGGGGACTGTGAGAAGCTGTTCTGAGGCAGCTGTGGTGTCGGTGTCGACTGCTGGATTCGGATGGCCGGGTTCGCGAAGTCGTTGTAGGCAGTCGTCATGAACGAGTTGGGCACGTTGTTGGTGGCCTGGTTGCCGAAAGACTGTTGCTGAGACTCGAGATAGTCGTGAAGCAGCTTTTGGTCGAAGAACTGCTGTTGGGAGGTGAACTGCTGTGGTAGCTGCTGGTAGGCGAAGGTGGTCGAGGACGGTGGTGACGGTATTGATTGTTGCTGACGTCGTGTGTATTGCGCTAACATAATGTCCAAAGAGAGAAGTAAGGGAAAGGCGGGTGGCAAGTGTCTTTATACTAGCCGAAGCACTGGCCGATGACTCGGGTGGGCTCGCCGATGCAAGTGAAGACCACTTGATGAGGTGATCTGAAGCAGTTGGCGGTAGAATGCGGTGGAATGGTAGCGTCGTCTGGGCCGCTTAGGTTCGGATTATCGGGTTTAGTAAAACTATGTTGCGTGGTGTCTGCTTGCAAATTGCTGAGCGATAGTGTTACGGCTTGGGCTACTGAATTCTGCGGAATCGACCTCTCTTTCAACCTCTTTCCTATGACGCAACGCTTGCAGGGGTCTCATGCATGGCGTCCACTAGTGCAGCATTCTGGAAGAACTTGCGACTAGGGCAAGATCTTCGCTCACACCCTGCATGACGGCGCCGGGGCCGTGGTGACACCGAAGGGCTGTGCAAGCCGGCAGAGCGACCTGTTCCACTCAGAGTTTTCAACGTGCATTCGGCTCGCATCCGAGATGCTACCCGTGGCATCCACAGGCCGCGACCAAAATAACAAGCCATCGTCTGTCAGCACTTTAATCATCGGTGCAAGCATGCAGAGAAGTTTGCAGCTATGCGACATGTTACTCAGCCCAGGGCCCGTGGCTCCGGAGTTGGCCCTCCGCAGCGCGCGAAGGCCGAGGTATCTCCAAGTGCGACGGACAACACCCAAGATCTCGGATACGGCAATACGACCGTAACTGGGCATGGCCGTCGGTATGCGTGCACTCCAGGGCTACGGATACTCGCGACGAGTGTTCAGGCAGTGCATCTTCGCAATGGACGTTACTCTTAGGCGACGAGATAGTAGATGCATGAATCATGAATGCCAAATACTGTGTACACACCAGCCACAGCTCTGGCCGCGTCGACTATGGTCACATGTCTGGGCGCGTGACCATTATTCACTCCTCCATCAAAGCAAGCGCTTTGAGTCACGCATTATTCAGCTCACTGTCAACCGACGCGCGACGGTGGGTGCAGCCACGTGGTCTGCTGGACGACTACCGACCACGACCTGCATCTCGTGTACTATGGATAGCTGGATCTGGTGGCAAGATGGTTCCTGGGATCTGTCTGCCGGTGTGGAACCTGCGCTTCCCGTCGCCAGCTGAGCGCTAAAATGGAAAATCAGTTTGAAGGCCAATGGGCGGAATGTCGAGCACATCATTTGGGATAGCTTCACCAGATCGGTTAAACATTCAATACATCCTGCAGGGCCAGTCGATATACCTGCTCGGCATTGGCACAATCCTTGGGCTGTGCACGTTAAACCCGCGAATCCCTCCAGCCAGCAGCGTGCCAGGAAGACTCTTCGCTGGAACCTTGTACAGCAGACAGCAGTGTCCGCTGAAAAGAGCCGCTGTAACGTTCTGCAAGCATGGTCCACGCAACTTGGAGGGATCGCTGGCGGAAGGCCCAGGCTCGCATTGGCGGGGACGTTGTTCAGGGTCCAGCTGTGGCAGTGCAGCCCTATGCACAGAAGATGCGGGAGTGGGTGCGCGATGCAACCACACACCGGCTCCTCCGATGGACGATGGACGATCTGGCCATCCACAGCCCGTAGAAGGCACTAGCCACACGTCGAAGCCGCATCGCAGCGACCCGAGGCTCGTCTATATTTCGGATTGCACAGCACCGACAATACTGGCCTGTCTGTCGGACGAATTCTCTTCGACCTCCGCTCTTTCCTCTCGCGTTGCGTCCTGCTGCGTCCGGTCACACCAGGGCCCCTCCTTTCTCGCTTAGCTCCATGATGACATCACCGTTTTGAAGTGAGCTTCTGATCACAGACACAATTCAGCCAGAATGGCAGCACTACGGCAGAACCTGCTTCACGTCTATTTCAATAACCAATACTTTGCAGCGCCCATCCCTCCTTCCCCATCAGCACCAATATCCTGCTGGCCGCCCATGATGCGCATCATTCCTCGAAACGAGCGATGCAGTCACGATCGTCAACGGCTTGCGGAATGGCGCCCGCTCGGCGTGGGACCCTTACGGACGCCATAAAGTTAGTCCATCTGCCACCCAATCCACGTTCGCGGGTGTCTAAGACCCTGCGTCAGCTTGCTGGGTGACGAGATTTCTGCCGCTTCATCTGCCCAATGCAGCCACGTCACTGCCGATCATGACGCCTGAGGGATAGGGAGGGCCGCTGTTTTCAACTCCCGCATCACCACCACAGAATAAGCGCGACCCTGCTCCCTGATGACGAACGTCAATCTCTCGTGTTCAAACGCTATTGCTGTCGCATGCTGTCGCATTGCACAGCAAGGTTTGCTTCCAGCGATTTGACCGGGCCGATTACCTAGACTCGTGAGCATACTCTGGTATCCGTTCATGCAGGGCATCCTCGAATCCTGGTCTTACAACCCAACAGTTGCAAGGCTTAGGTGACCCCAACGTCAACCAGCGTTTGCAACGTTACCGCCCCACACCGGCCCTAGCCTGTTTCGTCGACCATGCAAAATCATGAATTGATTAAGCCAAGCCTCCGGATTACACAATTATTGACATGCTTGAAGCACAGCAGGTCGTTACGAGACCTGTACGCAAGCCCCGAAATAGTCACTGGGTGCGCGTCAATCTTGATGCAGCAGCCGAGGTACTTGCCGGGAATACTGTACTATGCTTCGAATGCAGACCTTTGCATAATCTAAAAAGCAACAATCGTTGACGCTGCCTGTGCAGTCGTGACCATCCTCAGGCCGTGATGCCGAGTCTCACAGCGGCAAGACTTCGGCAGCGAGCAGACGACGTTCTCCCGAGCCAATTCCCGGTTCGCAGGAACCCACACGCGACGCTAACTCCGCAAACTGCTTTACTCGTGCAAACCGTGCAGCTCTTACCAGCATGAATCTGATTCTCAACATATGCAAACCCAGGATTTCGTCCGAAGTGCACCCAGCCGAGTGCGAAAGCCACACGAATGCGAAGAAAAGTTTTCGGCCAGAGTTTTATAGCCGCAGACATCAATGCTGACGATAAGCTGGCTGCTTACGTTGAGCTTACATGCACTGTTCGGCACGCGGATGAATAGGTGCTTCGCAACGAGTGCACGCTTTGGGACTGCGATCCCAGATCTCGGCAATCTATGATTCTTACTTCGTGCCGCTTGGGCTGCTTTTTGTCAGCTCGGTAGTTCTGGACACGGCTGAGACACGGCGGCTGAAGAGAGACACGATGCGACAGGTACGATTGCGATTGAGCTGATGAACGCTTTTAGATTTTGCGAGTCAACAGTCAGCACGAGTGCTACTTCGCAGAGTCAGACTGCCTCGGTGAAGATGCAATACGACTACGACATCTAAACGCAGTAATACACCTCGTACTCGCACCATCAGGAGCCTCGTTTCCCTCTTTCTCCACACTTCCCAATACTGCTGGTAAGACGAGGCGGCCACTTCCCACCAAACACGGCTAGCGCCGTCGTATTGCTACTTATTCTTGGTACCGACAGTGGAGATAGATGCACGACAGCCGCTCCCGTCGCTAGTTTTGCAGTTGACCATACTAGATAGGACATATTACCAAGCACGTACCCGTATACGATGGATCGCGACGCAGACGTACAAGACATGTGAGCATTTCGTAGTTTTGCGGTAAAGTTCCCAGTGACGTGACGCGCATGCAACATCGAGTCATTGTTTTTGCATACTCTCAGTTTATATTTGTACAATAATTTCGGTCAAGCTCTATGAAAAACACAGCGATAGTCATGCTCTATCATCGCTACAACACCTGCATTTGGTCCTGGTTTTTCCAATTGCCTTTCTGCTATTTGATCTCGATCTCGTGCCTTGTAACAAACTCGACATACTTTTTCCCTTGCTATGTATCTACATCTCCTCATTGTGATCCTGTATACATCCAAGACCTGTACAGCTTCACGTGGAGGAATCTCATAGCTGCGTGTGCCCAGGCTCTGCTAAATATACCTCCACACCATTGCTTATGCCGTGTAGGTGCAGAAGCGAGCACGACAGTCTGATAGCACTGACAGAAGCGATGGAAGCCGCCGACATTCTAACTTTCCAGTCAAATCTATGCCTTTGCGTTCCACTTGCTACTACTCCAGCAACGCGTCTAGATTGCTGTAGTTCCAGCGCTTCTCGGCAGTTTGACTTGGTGCACCTCTTGATTACACTGTTGTAGCGACACTTTGATACTCGATGTACATGCACTCACTTTTCTCCTCTGAAATGCTGTAGAAAAGCTATGCGTGCGTGTCGCACAAGTATTTGCCTCGTCCTTTGTATTAGCGAGTGCGGGAGTTCTAGCGGTAAGGTTACGTGGTAGAATAGGTTGCTTTGGGTAGAGAGTGCGACGATTGAGAGGACGATTTGATCATGACTAGATGTGTACAGTTGGAGAGTTTCTCTATCTAGTCTGTAGCTGATTATCCAAAGGAAGGAAAGTACTGCGACCACTGAGGTGTCTGGTAGACGCTTGATGGGGAAGCGCGTAGACTAATGAACATTTCTATGAACATGTACAGTCGGAAGAGGGTGTAAGAAATTGCGAATGGCCAGAACAAAGCGTCCCAGAGTGTACGTCTGAGAATCCTCTTGTAGATGTCTTCTTCCATCAGCATTAAGACTATTAGAACTGGCACTGTAGTGACACCGATCGAAGAGATTCTCCAGAGAAGTTGTTCCGTTGGGGAGGGAAAGTGAAAGTTCCAGGCCACGATATGTACAGCGCCGAACGCAAGGCTTATTATGATCATGGATGAGTACCACAAAAGCCCAGACATGTTATCGCTTCCATCAAATTCATCTAGGTACGCGACACGGTCGATAAAGTCTTGCTCTGCAAAAATTCCTGTCACATGGAAGGATAATTGGCGTTTGCACATCAAAAGGCTTCTCCCACCAGGCCGCGTATATCACAACAGCACAGATAACGATGCCTAACGTGAAGAGTTCGAGTGTCGTTGCTGCAAGACCTTGAGCACATCGCCCAACGAGCTGAGCAATGAAAGAGATGATTTGTATCAAAGCGAAAGCCTTGATCAGCCAATTTGATTTGCTGTGATCTTCAATCTCCTCGTTGGTGGTGTCGGGCCATGATAATTTTCCCTCTTGCAACAATTCAACAAGCACCTCTGGCCGAACGCGGCGACGCTGGCCATCTGGGAATCGCACAACAAAACCTCCCATAGTGAGGAAGAAGCATTTCTTCAGTGACCAGGCTGGTATCTTTGGCCGTCAGTCCAGGAACATGTGCTAGGCCTGCCGCACGAACTCAACTCACTTTGCGTTTCACCGCGACTGCTGACCTCAAATCCATGAGTACATGCCACACCATTGTTTCTGGCCCTATGAGGCATATCAAGACATATTGAGTCCGTTTCCAGAGTATAGCAAACTGGCTTTGGTTCAGACCCGGCAGATTGGGATGAACAGCGCTCCAAGTGCATAAGAATAGCGTGGCGAAACAGCTCCATAGTAGACCGATGGTTCCACGTCCCTCGGGCTCTGACGCCCAACCCACGGTGTGGGCTGTCGAATTCATTGTTGCGATGTTTTGAAGATTGTTGGGTTGAGTTATTTGGGACTGGGCTCCCATGAGGATACATCGTGGTATTTATGTCCGTTCAACTCGACAAGGCTGGAACTCAGCCTGACTGTAGTGATGAGTGTGCAGCGCTGCGGCATGGTGGCTTGCAGAGCTGAGCATCTCTAGCCTCTCTAGCCTATCATCTCTTGCAAGCTGAGGGGCATGCTGCGGCATTGCGTTGTAGCACGCGTGTTAAGTGGGCGGTGCGAGTTCTCGAGAGCGGCGACTGGATGTGTTCATAGTGTTCGTGCAGAAGTCCCAGCTTGGAAGGATAGGGCGAGTTAGTGGGTGATGGCGAAGATGTGAGTGTAGTGCAAATGGCATTCAGATTTGCTGATGTTGTAGACGTGACAACAGCCTCGTCCGAAGACAGCAGCGACGATGTAAACGAGGTAGGTGCAGCCACGCGGTTTCCGCGGCCGGCAGCGGCTGTCCTGCGTACCCTACACTAAACGTGAGCGTCTCCAGATCATGGTCCCATAATGCGCGCTGGATGGCCTGACGCTGTTGTGCTACAATTAGTCGTGTTGCGAACAGCGACGGCAACATGTAGGAGCTGAGCTAAATGCACACTGTGATTCGCCGAAGCTATCGTGAAGGCGTCTCGTTCGAGGGCCAAGCTTTCACATGCGCGACACCCCGCATGCTACAAACGCATGCTGTTGTACCTTCAAACACCAGAGGGCCCATGCGAGAGGCTTCCGGGGCGTGACCATGCTTTGACGTGCAGGCGCGAGCTGACATGGGAGCCAAAGAGGACGTCGAATATATTGGGTGAGCGACATTTACGCTCTTGATCTGTTGGAGTGCATGTAGCTGCGCAGATCATAGCTCCACAGCCAATCAGACAAACTTCACGACGAGCATCCAAGCCACTTTGGTGCTGTACGCTGCACAACCCCACCATTTCATCGCTCAACCTCCAAACGCCCGCATACGCTGCTTCAACGTCTCCTCCACGTCCTCGCCGCCACTCGCCCGCCATTCACGCCCAGCTTCACCCGAACACAATCTGACGCCCATCGCGCGCAACCCTCCTTCGCAGCAGAGTCGTGACGTGCACGCGGTCTTGATGGAGCCTGTCCGGCTACTGGCCTCATCGCGATTGCCGTAGGGAGACATTGCAGTCTTCCACAGCTAGCGAAAGCCAGTATGCCGCAGCATGACGACGACACGCCCAACATCCAGAAGATCCCGAACCGCCCCCAAAGGACCTGACCGAGGTATCGCGGGCCGTCTTGCGCAGCGAGCAGGCGAAGAGGTGGACCAAGAAGTACAGGACCGAGGTCGCGGCGAGCTCGAGCAGTCTTCTCTCGACTTTTGTGGCGGTGCGTGGACGGTCATTGAGTAGCATACGGCGGGTGAATGCTGATTGAGCTAGTATCCTCTCGACTCGGTCAAGACGAGGTTGCAAGCGTACGATGTCACGCCATGCCCTGCTTCACCGACCACCACTGACGCCTGCCAGCTACAAGTTCAACTCCTTCAGCGACTGCGTGCGACACACCTACAGGACTGAGGGCTTCCACGGCTTCTGGCGCGGTAGGCACATTGCATCTTTTTGTGACGGACACGATCACCTAACATCGCACAGGTGTATGGTCGCCCCTCCTCAGCATAACCCTCGTCCGCACCGTCTCCTTCTCGATATACCAACGCTCCAAATACGCCCTCGATGACTGGATATACCAGGCCACCGGCAGTTCGCCGCTCGTCATCGCCAACACCAAAGGCGCATACCCCACGCTATCGACAATAGCATGCTTTGGATTGGCAGGAGCTGGCGCGGGTGCCACCATCACGGCAATAGCTTGTACGGCAGACCATCGGAAATTGTGGAGAGCAATGCTGACAGGGACCCAGGTCCGTTCGAGCTGACCAAGCTAAGCGCGCAGATATCCCGTGTTGATGGCTGACCGCAACGATGGCGGTGGAAAGAATGAAGCAATACGCAAAAGCTACCAGAATCTCGGCACGTTCAAGACGGCCCAGAACCCTGATGTAAGCATCGGGGCTGGAAGGGCTTGTACTCTGGCATTCCACCTGCATTTGCCGTGAGTCTCACCAGTTCAGCATACGGAATCGAAGAAGCTGATAAAAGTACAGTCCGCGACTCAATTGGCACCGGCATCTACTTCGTCACCTATGAAAGCATAAAGCAAATCCTCGCCAACGCACGCGGTACATCGCCCACACATCCCCTCGCTGTCGTAGTTGCCGGCGGTATGTGTGGGCTCGTGAGTTGGGCATGCGTACGTCTCTTCATCCCACCCCCATTCTTACCCGCATCTAACACAATATAGATTTTCCCCATCGACACCGCAAAGTCTATCTACCAACGCAACTGCCTTGCCGGCGGCGGCGACAAAGCCACACGCCCCAAGATCCAGTTCCTAAACCCCCGCATGTACCGCGGCCTCGGCGTCAGCATGTCGCGCTCGTGCGTCGTGAACGCCATTTTCTTCACCGCGTTTGAGTTTACGAAGAAGCGGGTCAATCAGATGAGTATCGATGAGGAGTTGTTGAGGGCGAATGATCTTTGAACTTGACTGTAGGCGGGACTATGGGTGTTTTGGACTGCATGTAAGCATGGGATTGGAGTTTTGTTGTCCTTGTTGGGGATTCATCAGTGGAAGTGGAGTGGAGTGTTTGTACGTTAGGTAGGGGGTTGCGTAAAGGAATGCACAGCATGGAAACAGCATGTAATATGATGTTCGTACCATTACCGTCTTGCGCATGCATTCATCCATACGGCGCCGTGCAGAATGGTGCTTTTCCCTCGATATGACGTCACACATTCTACACATGACGACCGAGTCTTGAAAATGCGTCTCACCGAAACCCCATCATATAGCGGCGGTGCAGCTACCATTTCATATCGGAAATCGTCGACGTGCGGTTTGAGTTTGTTGGAAATACATATTCTTGCATAGGTTTTCATTTCGGGGAACAACAATAATGTCTACAGCCCATTCTTCATCCACCGACAAAGGTCCCCATATCCATGGACTCTCATCCTTGTTTCCATCACACAATCGCAACAATGCGTTTCTTACATGCCACATCTTTTCTGACGTTGGAAGGCTGGCGGCTTTTTCTGTAACTACACTGGCAGACGTTCACGCAGCGGGAATTGGTGATTTGATTTGTTGTCCGACATATCTTCCCCTATCATACTATTTCCTAGATCCAAGTTGGTGCTAGAGAGGTGGATTCAAACGCACAACTCCGCCATCCTATTCCGTTCAAAAGTACTTGTTCATCTACAAGTCTACATAACATGCACTCAGGGAAAAAAGCTTACCAGGTGCTACCAAGCCCGACGTCATTTCAGAAGCGGTGATGTTGAAGGAAGAATAGTCGTTGTATGAGGTTGCATGACACTGGCGGAGAAAAGACGCGTTTCTTTAGCTTAAAATGAGAATGTGACACTTCGTGCATGTGCTGCACCCTTCCCCAACCCTTACCAGAGACTCATCCAGCAAGCTATACGCCAGACCAGCCCGCAACACTTCACCGACTTCTCCGACCGACAACTCCGAGCGACCTTGAATATCGGGTCCTGCTACGCTTCACTGCGGTGCGCGAGAACGGGCACGTGGGCGACGAAGCGCGAAGCGAGTGGAATCATGGGGGGCGGAAAGGAGCTGTTTGAGCTCTGGCGTTGTGACTCGGTCTGCGCGGATGCAGGCAAGTGTGCCGCTTCTAGTCCACAGGAATGGTGAACGCAGGCTATCGTTGACATCAATTGACTTCTTGTTGTTTACAGGAAGTTGTGCAAGGGAGAAAGAGTCCCGGCGTCCGAAGTGCTGCGCTGGTGCCTGCGCTGTTAGGGCGTCTGCTTCCAAGGTGAAATTTGAATCTAGATTTGGTGATTCGATGTGTCTGTGTGTGGCTGGACGTGCCGCATTGACGGAAAGTCAACAGAAGCGTTTGACGGGCTGCCTGAATGTATTCAGAGAGTCATGTTATCGCAAACCTAGCGATACTGTGTATAGCTTCAGGCGTCCTGGCCACTTTCCATCGGAAATAACAAAATATAGTAGTTGGTAGTTTGTTCGGTGCAGTGTCAGGTGAAAAAGTCCTGCGGTGGTCGATGGCTTGTTCGGATTCTAAATTTGCTTGTCGTCTGGCCAAGTGGAGTACATTATACCGGCTATTGTTCGGATAGGCAGCGCTAATGTGTGGCATGCCGAACTCGCTGGTTGTGTTATGTCCATAAGACTGGATGCCTGTGTTGTGCAGTTTTCAGTTGTGAAGGTAAAAGGTACAAACCCTTCTAATTCTCTTGCCGTGGAGTCGGTGTATCCTGCACAACATGGTGGTTGAGTAATGAGAGTTTGGTACTTCTTCGAGTACGTTGATATAATCGAAGCGACTTCTTCTAGTTTGGCTCGCCAGAAACGAGTTTTGGAATTCCAGACCATCTCTATAATAATAATAATCCTCTTATGCTTATACACGCAATACATTCAAGTGCTTGTCCGTGGTGAGTACCTGGACGTTGCTTCTGCAATCAATACCAAACTCGACCACGAACCTGTAAAGCCGAGGGTGAATGGACATTAACAGAATCAACCATCGTACCTACTGACGGCCAAATTTCCGAATGGTACCAGCACTACGAGTGCAGACTTTCCTAGCTCTTACGTTCGAGACACCGTCGGTGGGGCAGTTGACACAAGTAACTCATAGTCGGTGACGGTTATTGCCGATTCAACGTCCAGCATAGATGGGTTTGTGGAGTGCTTTCATCACCACTCATCTATTCCGCGTGCTGTGCTGCCGGTTAAAGTCGGTCGGGAGTATGGCTGCAATGACGGAAACACGCCGCCGAGGATGAATGCGTGTATCAGCAGAGAGCTGAATATACGTACCCGCTCAGCTGAGGGTGAAAGTGTTGAGGATATAGAGAGGGTGTGTATCTATCGTGGCCCTTCCGGAAGAATACCTTCTGCATACAGCCAGATGCGGGCGCGCGCTATGCCAATTGCGCCGTGATTTCGTTCTCGTCGTTGGCCGGCGATCGGAATGTGGAAGGAGCTGACCCGAAGCGTGCGTGTTTACATTGTCTAGCTGGCTGTCGTCCCTGTCCGGAAGACAATATATGTGGTTGATGCGGGTGAGGCTGAAATGTCCAACGGGTGCGACGACAGTTTAACCTCGGGGCCATGGCACAACATTGAACTAACACTGTAGAACATGGCAGATCGGGTGATTGCGCTCCCGCTGTCGCCCGCCCGTATACGCAGTTTTTTCCTTGTTGTTTTGCGCGCCTCTTACAGAAGATGCTTCAGCGATGGAGGCCTGAAGGCTCGGTGTTCGCGAGAGTGTCACAACGAAGGTACGCCATCCCGCCTTTCTCCACCAATCCCCGCATGGCGATGCGCCTCGGCCAGCGGCGTCCGCCAGAAATTCCCACGATGGGCGCGATGGTACCGTCGGCTTTTGAGCTTGGCGGCGGATTACTTTGAGTGATACTCGATGACGTGATTGGTGCGAAATTGCACACATCAAGCGACCGTATGAGGAGCCGACGGATAAACTCGAGCCCCAGCAGTCGGTTGGGGCTTTCCAGACCTCCCCGCCCTGGCCCGCCTGCACTCAACTGCGCCGAAGATGGCTCCTCTAGTACGGTTCTGTAACGGCATTTTCACTGTCCCAGCCATACGACGGGCTCGCAAGCGGCCCAACAAGCGCGGGTCTTACGGAAGCTTGTTGCTTTCCTCCCCATCCAGGATATGCTGCTATCTCTCTATCAATCTCCAGACGCACGTCGATCCGATTTCCAACACGTTTTATATCCAAAATATACGGCACGCCCGCGGTCCTCTACATCTGGCTGTTTGAGGCCCCTCGACTCCCCCATACCCAGCCCCACCCCCCGAACCCTCACCACGTCACGGAGATGGTAGCGATAGCTGTGGGAGACTGCCAGTTGAACACGTCCCGACGCATTCTCGCCGAAATCCAGCTCCGCATCAACGGATTCAACACATACGGCTAATCCGCGCCCCGTCTACCACACGCACCAACTCTAATCCGCCTGTCGCCCATGGCCACGACCATGGTGCAGGCTGGGAGCGTCCTAAGTTCCCATCTGAAAGAAGGCGCCGTTCCTCGATGTTCCATGAGATTCCGAGCGGGGACCGGGCCTGCTGCTCTTGATCCTGCTACAACGAGGGCGAAGAAGACATTGTGCGCATCTTCGCCGACGTCCTGGGGCAGAAGTGGGCGCCGGCGACTTCTGTGCAGGAGGCAAAGGCAGGGCCGTCGTCTACCATCTACGGAGTGAGCAACGCGCATGCGGTGTTGCAGCTCGACAGCCTGGACACGTCGCGCATGCTGATTAATACGCACCGCGTCGATGGAGGCTACGAAGTGAATGAGGCGCTTACTGATCGATGCGACTACGAATATCTGTACACGCGATCAACTTTCTTTCGACGCGACGTTTCGCGATTTCTCTCCTTCATCCTGGGCCAAATCGGCCCGCACCGAGACCTTACGAAAAAGGCCCGCACGACGTTGATCTCTACGACTTTCCCCGACGTGCACGCGGCACTGCCGAATCTCGACATCCTGTCCGTAGGCGCAGACGCGATCGAAATACGGGTGGACTTGCTGGAGGAGCCGCGGCCGGACGGGACGGTCAGCAAGATCCCGAGCTTGAAGTATGTCGGAGAGCAGCTGATGGTGTTGCGCCAGCGCACCGAGCTGCCAATAATATACACGACCAGATGCACCAAGGAAAACGGTCGCTTCCCAATGGACGACCCTAGCCTGTTTTACAGATATTTGGCGCGTGCAATTCAATGGGGGTGTGAATATATTGATGTGGAACTGTGGCTGCCGGAGGAGATTAGGAGGAAGTTGGCCGAAAATAAAGGCTGCAGCAAAATTATCTCTGCGTTCCACGACTTCTCGGGTACCTTCAAGTGGACAGCGCCTGAAACGCAGACTCTCTTCGAGAGGGGCGCCATGTACGGTGACATCGTCAAGATGTACGCGCTAGTAAATTCGATGCAGGAAAACTACGAACTTGAATATTTCCGATCAACCATACAAGCGAAGTACCCACATCCTCCGTTCTCGGGTCTCAACATGGGACCTATGGGCCAGCTCTCGAGGACGATGAACAAGATATTCACACCAATCACCCATCCTCTGCTCCCCCTGATAGCAGCGCCGGGTCAGTTGAGTGCCGCGGAAATCAACGCAGCCTTGCACACCATGGGCCAAGTGCCGAAACAGGACATTTACGGAATTGGCAGTTTCCGGTCTACGTCGCAGGCACTCTTCTTTGAGAAGTGCTTCAACGAGCTAAGCCTTCCGCACTCTTTCAAATTTGCGGAGAGGGCTCCCAAGGCTTCGATTGAGCACATCTTCCGACGCCCGAACTTTGGTGGAGCTTACATTAACCCACCGTTAGCGGCTGCTACAGCCCCCTTGCCCTCGCTTTCCAATGCGGCGCGCGCCATCGGACAGGTTGATACAGTGCTGGTGCGCTCGGAAGCGAACAGTGCCTCGTTCATCGGGGACAACACCAGATGGAAGGGGATCCGCGCAACTCTGACCCGTGACTTTGTGCCCTCTGCGTACAGCGGTCGGGCGGCGCTGCTGCTGGCAAGCAGCGAAGCAGATGCATCAGCGTCGATATTCGCGCTGAAGAACTTGGGCATAGGGCCCATTTACACGATTGGGTTCAAGGCCACAGGGCCGCTATCGACTGACGTGCAGCCGGTACGGTCCGTAGACGACGTCAAGCGGCTAGAGGAGCCATTCGTTATCATCTCGGCTCTTCCTGCAGAAAAGTCGCTGCTGGTGGTGCCCCTGCTGAAGCACTACAGGGTTGACGGGAGAAACGGCAGTACGAATGGACATGGGCTCACGGCAGCGAAGCCTGCAGGCAAGGTGTTTGTTGACTTGGCCAGTGGGCCCCGACGAGCTGACCCACTGGCGATTGCTACGACGGCGGGGTGGACCGCTTATGGTATCGCTGACGTCTCGGCGTGGACGACGGTGGAAACCATCAGACGGCTTGTTGGCCAGAACGTGTGCTATGACTTTGTGCGCCTGGCGTCTGGGAGGGGAGTTTTCTAGGAAGGCGCTGGTAATGACGCAGCATGTAGCATGTAGCATGTAGCATGCAGCATGCAGCACGCGGCAATGAGCAATGATGTGATCAATGCGAGTTTTGAGAATTGATTCCGCGCCCCCTGGCTGCCGCAATATCAGTGATGTGCTGCGTGGAGTGTGATGATATGAGATGGGGCGTCTCGGCCATTGGCAGTGGCACGCTGGTACATGACGGCAAAGGGCCACACGGGCGCCAATCGCAGGCGGCAGAGTGCAGCAGCGGCCAGGGATGGCGGGTTGTTCAAGATGACGGGACCTCGTGGGCGCTGGGTCCATGTGTCAACTCAGAGGCACGACAGGCGCTGCGGCACCGCACTGGGCTGGGCGGCGTGGATTGGCTCGCTTGGGCTACCCCAGATTTCTAGAACAAGAGAAGCTGTGTTCCGGCGCTACTCGAGCCCGGACAGCGCACTATGCTGCAGCGGGCGCCGTGCATGCGACGGACTGCAATCTATCAAGAACCGGGGTGCAAACCGAGGCACAGTGCGCTGTCGAGGCTCGAGACCTCAGACGCAGACGAACTGCCATCCTTGATTCGACACTAAGCTCCACCCCAGCAGCCATTTTAGCGGCTTCGACGCTCGACGCTTGACGCTTCGACGCTTCGTCTGTCGCCATCATGGCCGCTGCTGGTGGCTGTCAGTGCTGTGCCCACTATCCACTGCCCAGGTGCGCCCCTCGCGCCCACCAGGTTCCGCACGAACCCCGGCCAGCATCCCAGGGCTTCCAGGACGTCCAGGGCTTCCAGCCTCCAGGGCTTCCAGGGCTTCCTCCACTACTGCCCAGCCAGGCCAGCGCTTCTGCTGTCCCGGCTGTCTATCTACGCTTGCAGCGCTTTCACCTCATCCACACTGGACG